TAAAAAAAAGAATGAAGATTGAAGATTGATTCTGAGCTGTATGAGTCAGAGTATTCAAATATTTTTGATAGGATGTACATGATGTCACATTACAGTGTTTTTTACCATAGAAAAGTTGGTTTTTCTATAATAAATGAAGTATATTAATGAATGTAGAGAAGAGTATAAAGAATGTAAATACAGTAGAAAACATCTGTAAAGAAAAGACTGGAGATTAATACCATACAGACCACAGAGCCTGTTCATGGATTTGATGAGGTGCATGTGATATCATGTGAGGTCACATTACAGGGCATTTTACTCGGAAAAGTTGGTTTTTCTATAATATATAGAGAGATATATAGAGAGATAAAGGAGCGGCCTCAATTATCTCCATTCGGCAAAGTGCAATCCCCCTTTCGGGGTTACGTCACATGAATGTTCGGTAAAGATCCTAAGCTTATCCTGTGTCCCGCCCATCCCCAGCCATGAGGTTCGAAGGGAACTTCTTTACGGATCGATCCGTATATTGGAGCCCGAATTGTATCGGGGCTGAACGGAGTTGCTGATTTGTTTTTTGTCTGCACCGCCGTGTTAAGTTCCGCCCCACTTCAAGGGCTCAGCACCTGGTCCTCAAGCATAAAACCCTAATAATTGGCTTTGATTTGGGTAGAAGCTCTGGAGTCCAAGGATTCAAAGCCGGGGTCGATTTATCTGACGCCAAGGCTTGGCGACGGAGGATTTTCCAGACGCCACCGGTCATTAAAATCCCCTTGCAATGCAAGCGTGAGAGTTTCCGTTTTGTTGCCTTGACTGTAGCTATAGAGTTGCACTGTCGAATCTTAGATGTTTAAATATTTCAAAGCTTTGAAAAGGAAGTGTCCCGTCCTTTTCTGACTGTGTAAATGGTTCCTGACTCCTAGCCAGAGAAATTGATACATGAATGGGCGATGGGAAGAGGAAGTCTCAGGGGCCCCTTACATTTTCTCTGAAGCAGGTTACTCACAGGATATATAGAATGACTGGGCGACTCCTCGGTCGAATGACCAAAATTTGGCAAGGTAGTAGTATCCATATTTGTAAGGCTGAGTTTACATGAACGTACTTCACCACTTTCTTGATCACATCACGTGTTTGATGTCATACCAAATAAGTGAAATTGATCAATAAAGTGGTGTGATCAAGAGAGTGATGAAGTACGTTATGGCGGGCTCCTTTGTCGAGAACGATTCCTGTATTTATTTCACGCAGCGTTACGCCAGATATTCATCATACAGCACTGTATGTATGTATATGTGTATGGACGACGTAAATACAAGGGCTGTAAGGGACACACTGCGCATAATTATAGTTTTTTAGGCTACCAGGTGTCGGGATGGACGGTAACACGGGTGGAAAACAAGCTTATTTTCGTTCTCATGATCTTCGAGTCAGAATAAGCTGCAGCGGACGGGCAACGAAACAACTAACGAAAAGAAGGTTGCGAACACCAAGGTTCACAACCGCGTGAGAGAATAAGGACGCCTCATTCTGATCACCATCAATAAATCCTCGGAAAGAAATATGGGGCCTCTCGTATCCAAAACTTTCAGAAAGCCCACTATCTGCTGGCTGGACACAAATATTATTTTGCTTACTTTTGTTGTTACCATGCTAGTGGCAAGTGCGACTGTGCAAGCAAGTATCCCCAGTCACAGTGTCAGTTAGCAGCCTAGCAAGGGTGGGCGGCTGATCGAACAGGGGCATCAAGATAACCTTAAGATTGTGTGGGTCCATGAACCAAGGATTGCATCCATGAAATAAATGGTCTGTATCCACACAGCGCCAAATCAAAGAAGAAAGTTGCAAAAGGCGGAAGCAACGGAAGAAGAGCATCGTTAAAAAAAAAAAAAAAAGAAATTAATTCCCACATATTGGTTCCCCATGCTAAGCATCTAAGGGAACTAGCGCCCATGCAAAATTTCACCATGCAGAGGTTAAAAACTTCAAAAAAATAAAATAAAAAATAAAAAAATAACAATTGGTAGTGGGCTAGAGAGAAATCGGGGCCGACGCTCCTCCTCCTCCTCTTCCTTCCGGCCTCCTGAGTCCTTCGCAACTCCTCGGTCGTATTCGCCTCTGTGTCTTTGACCGTATTTCTCGTGGACGCCATGGCTCGGAGCAATCCACAATATTGTCTTTGTATCCCATGTAATCGTGACGTTGAAACTCAAACCAGTCTTGGCAGCGAGGTCAAAAGACAAGCAATTGTCTCGGAATTCGACCAAAAAGCTCGTGGGAACAATGGCGGCTGGTGCATAATTATGAACTAGAAACGCCTCCTTGCCTCTCCTATCCCACAGGACTGTACGCTCGGGGCTCGTCGGCGGTTGCACCCGGCCACATTTGTATGTAGTTGAATCAACCTATTTATTATTTAGGAAAATAAAGTAAAATAATAAGAGGCATTTGAGCACCTTCATCGGTACGTATGATACTTGTTGGCAGTAGGTCTGATACCTGAACTTCTGCTGCCGGAGAGAAGCAGGCCTGCCTCGGGACAATTTATGCAGGGAGGATAAATGGTGGGGAAGGGATGGATGATTTAAGGTTAATTAACCGTTTATAAGGTTTAGAGTCCATGCTCAAACTTGAACATCCGAGTTTACCAACATGATAGCGCGATTCATAACAATCATGGCGGTTTTTTTCATGCGCTATTGTTTTATGATGTGTCCAACGACATAGTTACCTGGTGGCGTCGTTTATATCTGCAGCCTGCTTGCTCTGCGACCGAGACCCTCTGAAAATATGAAAATAGTGACTCTAACTTGTCCCTGGCCTAGCCGGTGTTACTGGCATTAACATCGGAAGATTACCTCGCTAAGGGTCAGATCTTCTGCACGCATTGGGGATTTAGAGCCGTCATTAGCCAATATTGGAGATCAAGCGAATAAACAGTCACAAGGGCTTTGTGTTATGGAAGTGGGGTCTGTCCGTCTCTTGACTGACTGGTTTCTAGGAGCTTACGAAGCGACCTTTAACCTACAACATACTTTGAATGATGAATCCATTAGTTAAGAGGCGAGGAGCAGTGTGTTTTGTTTGTCGATACGCAATGGGCCAGCCGTAGGAAACCTTATGAACAAAAATACGTAATGCAATGACTGGTAATGAGCGCAGATGGAAATCTTGGAAAAACACTGCGCTTTATCGAGAGCAAGACGAATAATAATGTACATACATACATTCGGCAAAGGGTTATTAATACCAGGACTGTCTTGGTTTCTCTTTTGGAGATAGAAAGTTTGAACACAACTATACATAACATATTGTGAGACAATAGGTTCAAGCTACGAGAAAATGGACCCAAGAGGGAGCCGGCAAACCCGGTGATAAGGTGCACGTGACATGTAGAAGCAATGGGTAAATCGATTATGACAAAATAAGAAAAAGAGTAGATATCTTTATATCCCGTAAAATACAGTTTTCTCGCTTGAGATAATCATACAGCAAAAAGGGAGAAATCTAGGTTATAAACTAGATAGTAAGGTAAGAAGATCTCGTTACCTTTCCTTTTCTATCCCTTAACATTCAGCTCGTCCAAAATGTCGTGGGAACGGAACAACGTCCCTAAGACTAGAAACGCCAGCCAGATATCCCAGGTACCGGTCAAACCCAAGTCCAAACCCGCCGTGAGGTGCACTGCCCCATCTCCTAAGATCGGCATACCATTGCATTGGGCCGATATATTCATCCGGTTGGAGGTAAGGGTATATTGACGAACCCTGCTCCGCCGCCAAATGTGACGAAGAAGATGCACAATCTGCGTCTGGCCCCGCCTCAGGCATTTTCCTAATAAGCCCGTGCTCACGCATGTTCTGTATAAGATTTGGAAGTCGGTGTTCACGAATGGAGCCACCGACCACTTCACAGATCTCGGGCATCAAAAGATCGAAACATGCAACGGTCTCCATTGTTTGGGCTGGATCATGGTTGGATAATTCTGCTGGCGATGCGGGGGAAGGTTCCTCTAGCACGATTGAAGGTGCCATGTAAAATGGTTTCACCATCTTCGGATAGTGAGTCACAAATACGGGACACCCCTTCCCAACTTCATCGACTATGAATTTTTCATGCTCGAGGTGGAGGCCCTCCTCCCAGGCCGGGGTTATGGTAAAAGTGGCTGCTTTCGATGCAACAGCCTTCTGAAGCAACTCGATAGCGTTGGTATACGTAATCCGAGGCCATTCCCCACTCTCTATTATGCCCAACCATCGCGGGCGCAATCCCTGATCAACATTTTCTTGTCCAGACTCCCCTGTCCTCTTAGCTGTAAATATTTCCTCCGCAACTGGGCTCTCGTATAGTCGTTTCGTAAGGTCACGAATTAATGACTCCACAGTATCCGTGAGCGAATCCAAGCTATGCACAAAATTCATTTCTACCTCTAACATATAGAACTCGCTGAGATGCCGTGGAGTATCACTCTTCTCCGCTCGGAAGGTGGGAGAGAGGGTCCACACATTTCCCAGCTCGGCCGCATACGCCTCCAGATGAAGTTGGCTTGACACCGTAAGGTATTTTGGAGATCGAAAGAACTCCCCCTTCTCTCCGTCCCCAACTTTATCTCCTGGCGCCACTGTGAACACTTCCCCAGCACCTTCGCAATCAGACGATGTGATCAGCGGCGGCTGGACCTGCACGAAATTGCTGCCGAGCCGGGAGTGGAATACCTGTCCGAGTTGGAAAATGCATTCTGATCTAAATCGAGAGAGGAGGGAGTTGAAAGGTGTCCGTAGCCTGAGATGTGGTATTTGTCGAAGGAAATCTGGGCTGTGGTATTTCTTTTGTATTGGATATGACTGCCAGGTTAGATAAAGGGACGGATGTTAGTAAAAGATCATGGACAAGCTATAAAAGAGATTGGAACGAAACTAACCTCAGGATCCGCCTCTCCAGTAATCTTAACTTCTGTCGCGTGAAGCTCATGGCTTTGCTTTTTGCCGGCAGGACATGGTTGCCACACGCCAGAAATATCAATAGCAGAACCGGTCGATAGTCTATCAAAGATTCAGGAGACAAGAGAAATTAGCGAACCAAACACATCTCTCATTGCTGTAAAGTTCACCTCGCACAATTGGACCACATATCATAATAGAAATAAAGAAGCTGCCAAGGCGGACAGACATACCGAGCAGCCTGCGCCGGCGTCAAAATCGCCTGTACCGACTTAATCGTTGACCCATCCGATATCTCAGCAAACGCGAACCGTTTCTGCTTCCTCACAGACCGAATAAATCCCTGAACCCGAATCTGGCGGTTGTCCAAGGAACTAGAGCCTCCATCATGATCAGCAGCAGCAGCGGTGGGGGTTGTTTGGGATGCCTCCAACAGCTGCGCGCATCGGAGTAGCAACGGGGCTTTTTGACCTGCAATCGCCGAAGCAGTGGTGGAGGTGCTCAGGCATCTACGCCATACGAGCATTGCTTGCTTGCTTGCTTGTTGGTTCTCTCTCAGGCACAACAATTATGCCCGGTATGTCTTGATGGTTAGTTTCGGATACTTGGTTTACAACTTTTTTTGGTTGAGCTCTCGATTGAAGGTTCTAAATTGCTTGGCAACCCGCGTGCTCCCGTGACTTTTGGTTTGGGCAGCAGAAACATTATGATAATTCTGTGTAGTTAAATAAATTTCGTGATGGTAGACAAAGGCAGACTAAATAAAGAGTGGAATACAAAAGGAATAAAAAAGCCCAAGATCTCGCCCTGAATGGACCGTTGCCAATTTGAATAATACAGTGGAAATAAGTCGGAATAGATTTCAAAGGCGCTCAATCAATGAATTACTACCCGTTGCTCATACGCTTTCCTCTCCTCCTCAATCATCTCAATGGCATCTTCTAGGTTACCGTTTGCTGCTTCTGCATATACGTGCAGGTTGTGTGAAGGAAGACTCGAATCATAGCCATAGCCAAGTAGCCCAAGGTGAGCGACACATCGATCGATATCGTTTGTTAGCCGATTGCGCTCCTGCATTTCCGGCTGGCGTTCTGAGTATTGATGGATAGGCTTAGGAGGGACGGCCGGTGCAGCTTCCGCGGGGAAGCTACCCGGAATGTTGGAAATGACGTCTGTTGTTGGACCTTGGGGGATGTATGGATTGTAAATGACGGACCGGCCTTCGAGCGCATTGCGATGCCTGCCAAAGGACACTCTTGCAGGTCGGCGATGCTGACGTTCTGTCGCGCTGCGCCGAAGATTAGAATTTCTATTACGCGGATGAGGCTCAGTGAAAGGAACAAAGGGTCCAGAAAGCCTTGCTGCCGGATCGGAGGCTATGGTTGTATTTGAACGACGGAGTCCACTGGGAGGTGCTGGAGAAGACGCTCGATGTCCCATCAGTTGTGCATTATACAGTTCAGGTGGCCAAGAGCCAGGAATTCCGCGTCCTTCCGTCGGCGGTGGAGCTGGATGCAAGTTGCGTAGATTGCGGATAGGATCATCAGAAGTAGTAGTCTCATTTAGTGGACTTCCATCTATAGCTATCAGAGATCTGCTAGGTCTCAACTCATCTCTGGGTTGAGATTGCTGCATGGTAGAGGTACACGCTTCCAATTGGGAAACAGTTGGGAATCGTGCCATTTGAGATTCTGGGCTAAGCGAGCGAGCAATATTCTGACCTTGACGAGGAGGGGAGAGAGACTGGCTACCATTGTATTTATATGGATCAGGTACCAGGGACGGGTAACGAGCGGAAAAGCCCGGCTCTCCATCGAGTTGGTCAGTCAATGCATTATTGTCCGTGGCATCCGCTGAATACAAAGCCTTTGGCCTCTGTTGATCAGACTGATTAGAGGAATGACGACGTGAACTTGGAGCTTCGGCATTTGGCTGCTCCTGGTTTTCTGTTCGTTCTGTGATATGTTTCAGGGTGTTGATCCTCTGCCGTGGATGATCATGAACTATAGATCGTCGTAAAGTCCCGAGAGATTTGGCCCGCCTAATACCGGTTGGGGTGCCATTAGGGTTACTGGCATCGATCTCAGCCGGCGTTTGCGTAAGGTTGTAACTGGACATCCTCCGAGATCTGGGGATATCTGGGAGATGACGAGGGATACGGAGACGCGTATTGGTTTCTGTAAGGGGATGAGGTGAAACCTCTACTGCTTGTCTGGGTGACTGCTGGACAGTGCTATCATCAGTAGTGTCGATACCATGGCTAAATTCAAGATTAATAATCTGGCCATGGAGTAGATTCCCGGTGAGCGCCTGGAGAGCGCCGGATGCAGCGAAGGAACAAGGAAAATCAACATAGCCAAACCCAGCGTGTTTCCCCGTTGCAGTATCGTGGGGCAAGTTGGCCTTCCCCAAGAAACCCTTGTTCGCAAATGCCGTTTCAACATCTTGTTCAGTAACGGCAGTATGGAGGTTGCCAATAAATAGGGTAGTATTGTGGTTGGAATCGGCCGAGGGCGTCTCTTGTGGAGAAGCAGTTTGCCTCTCGCTTTCTGGAATTACTCGAGAAGTAGAAACTTCGGGCAAAGAGTCCGAGGGTGCCGTATTATCCACAGAAACATTGGGCTGGGATGTACACTGCTGAGGGTTTGATTGGTCATGAGTATCTACATTTCCTTGAGAAAGCTCTCCATCTGGCTGTGCTTGGTGTGATCCCATGTTTGTAGGCGTGGTGTCAAAGGTGGCAAACAGAGTTCGACCCATTTCTCCAATATCCCCCGCCAAAGTGTGGAGACTATTCACGATTTGGTTAGTGGCCAGAATATCAGCTTCTCTGGAGCTATCAGCAGCAGCTCTCGATGAAGTAGCAGCAGCTTGCATAGCATTTGCAAGACTCCGAACATGGCTGCCAATAGCGGTGATGGTATTGAAAAGAGTTGTCTCCACTGTTGAGGGAATGTGTCGGTGTGCATTCGATAACCGGCGTTCCACTTCCGGAAGCTTAGACCTCAATTCAGAGGTTAGATGGCGAATGCCCCCAAGCAATGCTTGCATAGTCTGACCCAGCACTTCGGCAGGTTTGCGTGAAGGTTGGGATGAGGGATCCGATTCAGGTTGTGAAGCAGGTGGTTGCGGGGAGGAAGTCTCTGCGGTGAGTTGCTCCTGTGTCACTCTGCTAGACGAATCAACAAGTTTGTCTTGCATAATCCTCGATAGTTCGGCCTCGAACGACGCCAGAAGGGGAAGGTTTTCTTCGATAGGCGATTCGCGGCTTTCTGGCTCTCTTTGTGTCAAACCATTCGACTCCAAACGTAGTGGCCAAGCACCCAACGAGGTCCAAGGGTTTGATCCCGGCATAGATGCCGACGGGATGGATATCTGGGTGTCGGAAGTTATGTCCTTGGCATGGTCATGTTGGCTTTCGAAGCTGGTTTGTTGGACAGGTTCGATATTTCTTGAAGCACAGAGCTCCGATGGTTGACCACCGTCCACTGAGCTGACTAGGCCAATTGATGCATTTTCATTCTGGTGCCATGTCGACTGGGGAAATGGTGGGGGTTTGTGAGGTTGAAGCCAGTGATCTCTAAAATCATCGTTACTTTTCTCGAAGACGGGCTCGGGCTCGGTGTGGGCCTTGCTATTGTCGTCGGCCACCTCTGGAGCAGTGGCTTCATGATAAGTTGATACAGATGTATTCAACCGTCTATTGCCCATGGAAGTCCTGCTCTCAAAACTTCTCCATATTTCTAAGACGGATTTCGAACGATTAATGTCAAAGATATGCATGGGCCATTCATGTTCTCGATCATTGCTAGGGACAGCTGGTGAATACAAAAACGCTGACGATGTGGGCTCGCTAAGGCGATCCGCAAGTTCAAGCGCAGAACCGACCTTGTTTTTCATAATTAACGGCTATCCATGGATGATTGGAGGTTCCAAACTCAATGGCTAAGCAAAGAAATAATGGATCAGCTTACAGTGATTGTATCTCCGTCGTCCTCATCCATATAAGTCAGTTTTGCTAGGGGGTTAGCTGCAATTGTTTCATCGTATTCCTCAGCTGAAATTCGAACGATACCATGACGATCTGTTGTTGGTGGTGCAGAAGCTAGCAAATGAGTCAAGTTATTTCTCCTTCCCCCGCTGGAAGGGTCACTGTAGTCGGAACGTAACTTGGGTGGGACCAGGATGTCGCTGCGTCGTTTGGCTGTTTTTCCATCAGTGCCCATAGACGGGATTGATTGCATATCGTGGGTCAAATATGGACGAAATTTGCCATCTTCATCATTACCAAGCCGCTTATAAGCCGGCATTAGTTCAGCATCAAAAGGTGATCTAAGAAACGGTTCTGGATTGTCTTGTCCATCTTGTGGAGAACGATCGGGTTGTTCAAGTTCCTCATCCACAGTGGGATCCAGAAGATCCCTAATACGAAAGGGCTTCAGCATTGTGAACGGTATAGATGGGCTCGAGAGCAGATCGAAACAAGGTCGATGTCGAGGGCCAAACTGATCAACCAAAAGTGCGAGAAAACCACCGCCGTATTGAGTATCTCACGCAGAAATGAGGAGAGCCAAAGGGTGACAAGACGATTTAGTGACGGTAGGGGATTAAAGGATGGATCGAACGAGGAAAATAGTAGCCTGGTGAGAGGGTAGCCTTGCTTGAACGAGGGCGAAAGCACAGTTCCCGGGATCGAGTCTATGAGCTAGGCAGTAGCATTTGTTCAGGGTAGTTAGTGGTTTGGGCTGCACCCAAGGGCTTTTGGAAATGAAAGACGGATCTTGTCTCTCTCCGGGCTGATAGCGGTGGAAAACAGCAGTCTCCAACCTCCAGGCAACACGATAAAAAGGGTGGCGGTTAATGTTGGTGGCCGAGAGATGGTGCATCATTGCGTCTGAAGTGGTTGGAGCAGGCGCAGCCTCATTTCCCCGCGTCAAACCAACCAAACCAAACAAGGGGACATCCCGCTCTCCCCTTGGCATCCATGGATGCAGCTAGTCCTATTCTAGAAATCATATGACAATTGTTTCTTATCACATGATATCCACCTTCTCCCTCCTTTCAGGTGTGGCCCTCCAAACCCAAGGACTGCTTATTTATTCGACTCGCGCTTAAATTGCAGACTCGGTGAATAACCAGTTAGCCAGTGAACAGTTGACCTGAATACCAATAGCAACAAGACCCTCCGACTCGTTTTAGTGAGGTATCAGAAGTACCCGCTGTCGACATGCGACATTTCACGCTTCCGCCACGTTAAATCCCCGAAACCTCCCACCCCACCCACCCAGAACAATTGCGGTATCCAGCGAACCCTCCCCTGTCGCATTGTGTACCACAAAGGGTCCACGTCATCATGTCTGCAAATGAGCATTCCGCTGCCTCCCGCGCCTCCTCCAAACCAGCAAGCCCCGACCGCAACGTCAAAAACGTCGTATTGGGCAGCGTCCTTTTCAAGACTTGGTTTCACTCCCTATATCCGGAGGAGCTGGTTGGGAAGGACACGGATAGATTATATGTCTGCCGATGGTGTTTCCGGTACTCATGTGACAAAGATGCGTATCTAGACCACACCCGCCTCTGCGAGCACAGGTGCACGCCGCCCGGTACAAAAGTTTACGACTGGCGGGGGTATTCTGTGTGGGAGATTGATGGGGAGGATCATAAGCTCTACGCACAGAATCTTTCCTTGTTTGCGAAACTCTTCCTGGATCATAAATCTGTTTTCTTCGACGTATCCTCCTTCCTCTACTATATCCTCGTCTTCACCAACCCGCGGGACGCCAATGATTATCATGTGCTGGGCTACTTTTCAAAAGAGAAAATGTCATGGGATGCGAACAATCTGGCATGCATCCTGATTTTCCCACCCTACCAGCATAAACAACTAGGCAAGCTACTTATGGGTGTAAGTTATAAACTTAGTGCGTGGGAGTGGGAAGGGGGGATGATTGGCGGTCCAGAACGACCACTCAGTGAGATGGGACGGAAGAGCTACGTAAGATTTTGGGAGGAAAGGATCTCGAGATTTTTCCTGTTAGGCCCGCCTGGTGCTGATCCTTATGGGCGGAAGATTGCATCCGCATCGTCCTCGTCCAGGCCGATAGCTGGAGGCTCCAAGGGTGCGAAGAGGAAACATGCTCGGGAGGAGATGACAGTGCGCGAAATTGGCCAAGCAACAGGAATGCTCGTTGAAGATGTCATTACTGCATTAAAAGAGATGAGGATCGTGGAGCAAGAAAAGTCGGGGAAGAAACGTAAAAGAGCTCCCTTGCCGTCCTCGACCACAACTACGACTACGACAACTGGCTCTGTAGATGCGGATGCTGCTGAGGCTGCGGTGGTAAGGAAACAAAGTGTTTTGGAGTGGGCTAAGATTCATAGAGTTGATTTAAGGGATCCAGTTGCAGAAGAAGGATTCTTGGGTGAATGGGCGCCTGAGGACGAAGACCAGGAGGACCAGGAGACAGATGGCGGCGTTTAATGCGTTGGAGCATATTATATACAAGGTATGGTGGGAATAGAACGGCGTTATGTCTTTAGGCGCTTCGTTAGTTGGTTTGGGAAATGTTACGAGTTAGGAAGATACCCGATGTCCATACCCCCAATTTCATGAATACTCTTTCGTCTTTTACGTGAACGCTATACTCAAGTTGTAAAGCAAAATATATTAACTTACATATTGAAAGTAGTGAGCGCAGAGATTGGTTTCATTTTGAAAATGAAGTGTAAGCATGACTAACAACTTTTCGTTCATTGCATTATTTAAGATACCTAGCTAGGTAACTGATGAGCATCTATGCGAATACAGCAGCTATTTATCATGCATCTATTCCCGCCCTTCTTAATATCCCTAGATTACTCATCCATTCCAGCGGGACCGCCGGACCTTGACATCTGTCTTGCCTTGAGAAGTTCGTCGCAAAGCAGGAGGTTCGACGCAATACCGGCACTTGAGGCGACGCAGTTCCTCAGAACCCTGAAGGAGTCAAATACGCCTTCCTGGACCGGATCCATCGGGTCGCCTGTCGTGAGGTTAAGTCCGACAACATTTCCTTCACTCTGTTCGTCCTGCAATGCCGCAAGCGAGTCTTGAATATCGTGACCGGAGTTCGCTGCGAGGGTTTTGGGAATAATGAGAAGGGCGTCAGCGAAAGCGCTAACACCATATTTGGCTTTGCCCTTGACTGTTCTCCTGAACGCTTCGGACGAAAGATGAGCAGCGCAGGCGACCTGGAATGCACCGGCTCCTGGAACAACGCAGCCATCCACTATTGTGTTATAGACGGAGCGGAGACCATCCCGAACAGCTTCGGTGATCTGTGTGATCGTGTGCTGGTTGGGACCCTTGATGAGGATGGTAACGGATTTCGGATCCTTGACCTCTTCAACGAATGTGAACTTCTCCTCACCCAGCTGATGTTCATACACTAGACCTGCCCACCCTAGATCTTCAGGCTTAAGGTCGTCAACGCTGTTCTGCGCAGTGCCACCGCATACCAGTTGCAACCGTTCCATATTTCGACGTTTTGCTCTACGCAGTGCAAGTATTCCGTTCTTGACAAGCACATCCAAGCTCAAAGGATCGATACCCTTTTGATTAATAACAACGAATCCTTTCTTTGGATCATCGCCGCAAACTTGTTTCTTCAGTTCGACAATCTTGCGCAGCTTCGAGTCCACAAATTTCCTTTCGCTTTCAACCAGCTTATCTCTTTGCTCAGCGGTGGAATAATAGAAACCGGAGTTAATTTCAGACTTTTCATATTCCAGACTAACGTTCAACGTCAAAATAAAGGCATTCTCGACACGTTTTGGCATATCTGGGTGACGCGCTCCATGGTCCAAGGCTAGACCTCGAATGAGTTGGGTATCTGACGCGGTCCGATGTTGCATCTTCATGATTTCGATCATATGAAGATCAGGTTTATTAGGAGGCCTGTGAATGGCAAGCACCGCATCGACAATAGAAGGGGTCAACTTCTCGGCTAAGGCACCGTTCAATTTCGTGGAGAGGGAGGTTCGGGCAACGGAGAGGAGAAGTTCCCTGTCGATTTCTCTCTGAAGTTTGAACGAGTCAAGAAACTGCAAAGTTGTTAGAATTCGTATTTAACATGACCCTAAACTAAAACCATACCTTAAGTGCTTCGGCTTTAGCAATTTCATATCCGTCCGTCAGCACACGCGGGTGCAAACCTTCGGATAGATATCGATCAGCTTGCTTGAGCAACTCCCCGACAAGTAGAACCACTGATGTTGTGCCATCTCCAGTAATATCGTCTTGTGCCGTAGCCGCGCGCGCAATCATGACCTACACAATATATTAAAAGCAATGAAATACAAGGCGGGTGGTGGACGGGGGGTAGTGTGGCGGCATCTTACAGCTGTAGGGTTTTGAATTTGCTATATCAGTAAGTTAGCAAATAAATCCGTAAATAGGAGGGAAGAGGTACAAACCATTTCTCGAAGAAGCACGTTCCCATCCTTTGTAAGTTTGATCTATTTTACAAGTCATCAGTATCAGTGCACAGGAGCATCGTGGGATGCATATATCTCCATATTCGTACCGCACCAGCCCCGTCAACCAACCTGTATTCGACTTGTTAGTAGGCTATTAACGAAATTCAGGGAACCTGACGTACATCTTTATAGTCCCTGATGGACCAAGGTTCGATTTCAGGACATCTTGAAGCCCCTCGCCGGCGCTGATGTTGACCCTCAAAGCTTCCCCTCTCCGCTAGAAGAAGTTAGCCAAGGCACATTGGAACTGGACGCCTGGAGTCTTACTCGTGATTCCGCCTTTGGATTTAGCAGTTGAGTCGCAGACATGATGTCTGAAGTAGGGGTTATTCGAAATGCGACCCTTGAAGTCAACAATAGCAGACAGTAAATGTGGCGATGCGGTGATGTGGGAATTTGGTCACTTATTTAAGCTTCTTTTTGGGAAATCCCACATTGAGGTTCCGCGCTAGTGCGATCAGGGACGAAAAAATAGAGCTGCAAAATATTTGCCCTTCCCGAACCAACTCCATCGCAACTTTCATCGCTTTCGGCCTCATCGGCCTGTCAACCACTCTAATCGGTCTATTTCGTGCGTGGGTTGGAAGTCATTTCTATTTCAATTATTTTTTTTTAATCGATTATACCCCTGCGATGGCCGATTTTCTCCTCTTCGAGGGCCCAATGGGCTACTCGATTTTCAAGGTTGTCCACCAGGCCGATACTGTGGGAAATCAACTGAAGGAAGTGCAAGAGAACCTACAGGACCTTGCGAAATTCGGGAAGATGGTTGAATTGACGAGTTTCTTGCCCTTTGAGTATGTCTCCCAATCGATATTTTGGAGCGTATACAATGCAATTTTACCTGACACTTTTTGCAAAGAAACAACAAACAGGCCCTTGGCGAAATCAACGACATTTCGGAAGGTGTTGCCTCAGAGACACTCGTTTCGTTCTTGGACTTGAACTTGCCGAAACCGAATAAGAAAAAGAAGGTTGTGCTGGGTCTGTCTGATAAAGCCCTCGCTGGAAGCATCAAGGCGGCGTTCCCGTTTGTGGAGTGCGAAACTGGAGACACTAGTGATGTTGTTCAGGATATGCTACGAGGTATTCGACTACATGCGGGCAAACTTCTTAAGCAGCTCCGTGAAGGCGATCTAAACACTGCCCAGCTTGGTCTCGGTCACGCGTATTCAAGAGCCAAGGTCAAGTTCTCAGTACAGCGCGATGACAACCATATCATCCAGGCAATCGCGATTCTTGACCAGCTCGATAAAGCAATCAATACCTTCTCTATGAGGGTCAGGGAATGGTATTCGTGGCATTTCCCCGAGCTCATCAAAATTGTATCGGACAATCAGCGCTACGCCCGTGTCGCGCTTTTTGTCCAGAATAAGAAGGATCTGACGGAGGAAAAGCTACACGATTTGGCTGCCATTGTGGATGATGATGAAGGTATTGCCAGGAGTGTTATTGATGCGGCCAAGCACAGTATGGGTCAAGATATCTCACCAACTGACATGGAAAATGTACTTGCTTTTGCTAAGCGTGTTGTGAGCTTGTCGACTTATCGCAAAAACCTGCACGCCTATTTGGTATCAAAGATGAGCGTCGTTGCGCCAAACTTGGCAGCGCTGATTGGCGAAGTTGTCGGTGCGCGGTTGATTTCGCATGCGGGTAGTTTGACCAACCTCTCTAAATACCCAGCCTCCACCGTCCAGATTCTCGGTGCGGAGAAAGCTCTTTTCAGAGCTTTAAAGACCAAGGGAAATACCCCCAAGTACGGATTACTTTACCATTCGTCTTTCATTGGCCGCGCCGGTCCCAAGAACAAAGGCAGAATCTCCAGATTCTTGGCCAACAAGTGCTCCATCGCATCGAGGATTGATAACTTCTCCGAAACACCGTCCACCAAGTTTGGCAACGCCCTTAGGCAGCAGGTCGAGGAAAGACTGGAATTTTACGCCACTGGAGCTGCACCAACTAAGAATGAAGTTGCAATGGTATGTATTGTTTTCACTACTCGATGCTGATATAATTACATGTGCTGACTTGTTTTTGTTTGCAGAAAAATGCCATGGACTCTGTTTTAGCGGACATCGAAGTGGATGGCGCAGATAGTGATGTAGAGATGAAGGATTCAAGTGAGGTGGTCGAGAAGAAGAGCAAGAAGGAGAAGAAGGAAAAGAAGGAAAACAAAGACAAGAAGGAAAAGAAAGAGAAGAAGTCTCGAAAGTCCGATGTCGGCGAAGCAGAGGAGACCCCGAAAAAGAAGAGAAAGCGGGATAGCGAAATAGGATCGTCCAAGAAGAAGTCGAAAGCGTGATTATGTGTATTCCATTGTCAACTGGGTGTATTTTGCTGCATTGGGGCGTTGTAAACGGATGTTCGATATGTGCTATTTTGTCTCTTGTTTTCTATGGTCTTGAAAAGGGTTTCGCATTTTGTCAAATATATTTAGTCCGGTGTTTTGTTAATTTTGAATTTGATTCTTTTAACTAGTTATTGAAGAATAGTATCCATTTTCGAGTTCTTTATTTGTGTGGACAAGTGACGAAGAATGCAGGGTTTAGTATTATGTGGATTCTGTCAGATGTCTTCGTCACGGCTCAACGGGCGTGGTCGTCGATCCTGACACTGTCTCATTCTTCGTCTTCTTGACTCCTCTCCCTATTCCCCATCTTTCCAACTCCAGCGACTCATCATGGACCCCTCGTTTAACACAGGTGGCTGTTCACCATGCCTTTCCTCCTTGTGATCAGCAACCCCTGATCGCTAAAAGTCTAGAATTCCACCACATCATTTCCTAATGCCCCACCACAATGATGACCGGAATTCTGACTCCCCACAAGTCACCGAAGCGCAAACGCGATGACATAGACTATAGGTTAAGGACTGCTTCAACGTCCCCTGCTTCTTCTGTTACGTCGATAAGCGCAAAGGATGATCACCTTGATGATGAATGTAACCCTGCCATTGGGGGGAATAGTCCCCAAATCTCAGTAGCGGGTGAGCTGGGAGAGCTTGACCTGCACGGAACTTCTACCCATAGGTTTGAGAGCGCAAGCCATGGTGCGTCAGATGACAAACAGTTGACAGATAAAATGGACGAGGAGCCATCTGTACAAGGCACAATAAACATCGATGCGGCACCGACTGTAACCCCTACCGACACCAAGGAAAAAGAGAAGATACCCCTCGCATCACCAGATGGCGGAGACTTGCAAGCTACGAGCGCAGCTCCGGCACGGCAACAATCCAAACACAGCTCACAACAAAAACACAGGTCCCGTCAAAAATCTCCACCACTTTCAGGCGATGTCAATGAAAACCCGTTTACTTGGCGCGACTCGGAAATAACGGGGTATGCACCTACTGATCCGAACGATGATGGGTACGGAATTAACGGAATTGGTTTCAAGCCCACAGCTGCGATTGCGTGGGATAGATCACAGAGAAGGAAAAAGCAGGTGGCAGAATGGAAGAGCCGTGAGGCGAGGGAGGCGAGAGAGATGCGGAAATCACGCCGTGATGGGATTCTTGCGGACGAGCATGTGGAAAACAAAATACAGGTCTATAAAAAGGTCAAATTTGACATAGCTACGGAGGATTAACAATCGGATACGTTTGAGCTGGATATGTCGACTGTGCCATGCCAACTTCAGAGGCATTCGGAAACCAGATTAAGAATCTCGTTCCATTGTTATGAAATCATATGCATGTCTAATATACAGAAATTGTGGAGTGCCACATGGCTATGTTTTATACAAATGAGATATATCCTTTCACTCCGGCTTTCCCCCAACATACTGGAATGACACAATAACTCCCGACTCTTGCGCCTGTATGTATGCCTACCAAAACTTGTAATTCGACAGATTTGTCCAGCTTTTGCGCCGCCGCTCCTCTTCTGCCGCTGCCGCTTCTGCCTCCGCCTTTGCCCGCTCTCGTTCCTTTAGTTTCTTAATTTTGAGATCTCGCATAAGTTCCACAGCCTCTTTAATCCCGTCACGTTCCTGAACCCTTCGCCGCTGGCAAAATTCATACATTCCTATGGAGGCAACTGCGAAGGTTCCAACGGCCCAATTACAGGCTGGCCATGCTGCGCGAAGTCCTATTTCATTGTACGAATGGAGTCAGCATGGGAGAATCTCTGATAGTTGGATTACTGATCACTTACCACCAAGCACTGCTTTGAGACTGCCAACGCCAAAACCGGCGCCAATGCCAACTAGGAGAGAGTCGCGCGCACAAGGCACTTTGTAAAACGATAGTAGCCTATCTAAAGACATTGACTGGAAGGCATCTCTAAATGACGCAGCTTTCGGCTTTCCTCCCGCCGAGTTATATGCTCCAGGAATCAGGTTAATGGGTTCTTCCGGGTTTCCAAACTCCTCCCACATCTTCGCCGCCTGCGACTTGGGGAACTCATGTTTCGGTTTCTTGGTAGGTGAGAATTCTGGAGGGACATTGGAGGTGTCTCCCGTTGGAGATTGTGTATCCCGTGAGTCTTCCGCCATATCGACGTTGCGCTGGACAGCAATGTCACCGTTAGCTAATGAAACGTCTACCGCCAACCAGGTGACGATTCAGACCCGGCAGCTAGTTATTCCGGGCTTGGCAGGCTATTTGTGAACAAACTATTGGCTCCCAATTTAACCCTAAAAGGGATAATTTGTCCGAGATCGCCGAACTTGACGCGACGCGAAACGCGATGAGAGACGATAATTCTACCGTCAGATCGAAGCACAAGCACATTGACAAAAGAATCCCGAGCTGTCATTTGTACGATTGGTAACGCCTATTTTCCTTGTTACGATAACTGTTTTTTCTTTTCTCTTCTTTCTCAATGGATCTATAATTGTCTTATTTCCCCCGTGTGTTTGCGTAGAGTGACAATACTCGATCGATTCTTTCTCTTGTTCGCAGCTATCGGCGAGCCATAGAACGCTACAGATATGACTTTACGAAAACCCAGCAAGTATGGGACTAAATTCAGATCGAGCTCGGCATCCTTCAATCCAAAGCGCGCGAAAACCATCGGATCCTCTTCCCTTAGATCAACCGAAGCGACATCGCAAGATGAGAAGTACCAGGCAGTTAGGCTGGCAAACAGCATTGACGAGACAATGGGGTTCCCCAGGTTCGAATCTGGAAAACCAAGGACTGGTTGGCTAATTAACATGCACAGCACCATAATAGAGGACCCAAAGGTGCCTGGAGGACGGGCTGGTGTTGAATACTACTTCCTGGAAGACAATGGGACCAGTTTCAAAGCCACAATCGAATATGATCCGTACTTCTTGATCGCGACGAAGAGAGGTCATGAGATTGAGGTAGAGGAATGGTGCAAAAGGATGTTCGAAGGCATGGTGAAAAGCGTTAAGCTGGTTGAGAAGGAAGATCTCCAGATGCCGAATCATCTCCTCGGTCACAAGCGGAGGTTCCTGCAACTTAGCTTTGCTAATGTTGGAGACTTGCTGGGAGTCCGTAAATCGATATTACCACTTGCGCAAAAAAATAAGAAGAATGTGAATTCCATGGACACATACGCGGAGATGGCTAGGTTCGTTTCTCTATGCGTCACAACGTGACTCCGCCCTTTTCTGCCTTTCGCTAACGGGACAATATAGCGCAAATGTTGGATTTGACCTTTTCGACGAAGAAGTTAATGATAAACCTCAAAATGCATTTATAGATGCTGGCGAGTATATTGTTGACATTCGAGAGTATGATGTTCCCTATCACGTTCGAGTTTCTATTGATAAAGGTATACTCCGCTGTTGCCGTTTGTTACGTTGAATTTGTCTCACATCCACCGTTAGATATTCGGATCGGAAAGTGGTATACAGTCCAGTCGAAGAACGGGGTAATTTCTTTAAGCTGTATTGAGGACCGGCTTACGCGAGCGGACCCTGTTGTGTTAGCTTATGACATTGAGACGACCAAGCTACCTCTGAAATTCCCTGATGCGGTTATCGACCAGATAATGATGATATCGTACATGATTGACAGACAAGGGTATCTCATAACGAATAGGGAAATCGTGTCTGAAGATATTGACGATTTCGAGTATACGCCGAAGCCCGAGTACGATGGCCCGTTTACTATATTTAATGAACCAGATGAAAAGAGGGTTATCGAACGCTTCTTTGCTCATATTAAGGAGGTGAAACCTACTGTAATTGCAACTTACAACGGTGACTTCTTTGACTGGCCGTTTGTTGAGGCTCGAGCTAGCGTGCAAGGGATTGACATGTATGCTGAAATTGGGTTTCGGAAGAATAGTGAGGATATCTACCAAAGCAACTATTGCGTTCATATGGATTGCTTTGCATGGGTCAATCGAGACAGCTACCTCCCTCAAGGAAGTCGAGGTCTTAAAGCCGTCACTGTGGCGAAATTGGGCTATGATCCCGACGAGCTTGACCCAGAGGTCATGACAAGATACGCGAGCGAACGCCCCCAGACGTTAGCTGAATATTCCGTTTCCGATGCCGTGGCAACATATTACCTCTACATGAAATACATCCATCCTTTTATTTTCTCTCTCTGTACGATTATTCCTCTTAACCCCGACGACGTCCTCCGTAAAGGCACCGGAACCCTCTGTGAGATGTTACTTATGGTTCAAGCATACAGAGGGAACATCATTTTGCCAAACAAACAGACAGAGCCTCCCGAAGCGTTCTGGAACGGCCATTTGTTGGATTCTCAAACTTATGTCGGAGGTCATGTGGAAAGTATTGAAGCCGGCGTTTTCAGGAGCGATATTCCAGTCAATTTCACCATCGAGCCAGCTGCAATTGAGGAGCTTCTTCGAGATCTTGATGCCGCTTTGCAATTTAGTATCGTTGTGGAGGAGAAAAAGTCTCTTGATGATGTTACTAATTATGATCAGGTTAAATCTCAAATTATAGAAAAGTTGCTCAATCTAAAGGAGACGCCGAATAGGAACGAGAGACCATCGATATACCATTTGGACGTTGCATCCATGTATCCTAACATCATGACCACCAACCGCCTTCAGCCAGACTCTATGATCCAGGAGTCTGACTGTGCGGCGTGTGATTTTAATCGACCAGGGAAAACATGCGATAGACGTATGCCTTGGTCTTGGAGAGGTGAATATATTCCCGCAAAGCGGGATGAATATAATATGATTCGACGCGCTGTGACAAACGAGAAATTCCCGGGTAAAACAAAAAAGAGCCCAATGAGGGGGTTTGAAGAACTGACCACGAGCGAACAAGCTGCCATTGTGAAGAAGCGGTTGCAGGACTACAGCAAAAAGATATACCACAGATTATACGAAAGCAAAACCATTCAGCGGGAAGCCATCATCTGTCAGCGGGAAAATCCCTTTTACGTTGATACAGTTCGAAATTTTAGAGACCGGCGTTATGACTTTAAAGGTCAACAGAAAGTTTGGAAGGGCAAGGCCGACACGCTAAAGGCTGCTGGAGCTCCCGCAGTTGAAGTTGAGGAGGCCAAAAAAATGATTATCCTTTTTGATTCCCTCCAACTGGCACACAAGGTCATTTTGAACAGCTTTTATGGATATGTTATGCGAAAAGGTTCACGCTGGTACTCAATGGAAATGGCAGGCGTGACATGTCTTACTGGCGCCCATATTATCCAGATGGCCAGGGAATTAATAGAACGGATTGGCCGCCCATTGGAACTCGACACCGATGGCATTTGGTGTATGCTTCCAGGAACGTTTCCTGAAAATTTCGCCTTCACTTTAAAAAATGGGAAAAAATTGCCAATCTCATACCCTTGCGTCATGCTCAACCATCTGGTTCACGGACGATTTACCAATCACCAATACCAAACGCTCGCGGACCCGAAAACTTTCAGATACGAGACGCATAGCGACAACTCTATCTTTTTCGAGGTGGACGGTCCTTACAGAGCTATGATCCTTCCAACATCGAAAGAGGAAAACAAGAATCTTAAGAAACGATACGCCGTTTTTAATCATGACGGTTCTCTTGCTGAACTTAAAGGTTTCGAGGTCAAACGAAGAGGAGAGCTGAAACTGATCAAGATCTTCCAAACCCAGATTTTCAAGTTCTTCCTGGAAGGCACGACTCTTGCTGAAACCTATGCGGCTGTAGCTGAGGTTGCGAATAGATGGCTTGATGTTCTACATATGCACGGAACAACCTTGGCGGACGAGGAACTCATCGACTTAATTTGCGAAAACAGAAATATGTCCAAAACATTGGAGGAATATGGCAACCAAAAATCTACGTCAATCACCACCGCGAAAAGACTTGCAGGGTTTTTGGGAGATCAGATGGTGAAAGACAAAGGTCTGAACTGCAAATATATCATATCTGCAAAGCCAAAGAATTCTCCTATTACTGACCGCGCCGTACCTGTGGCGATATTTTCCGCCGAGTATAACGTTAAACGTTTCTTCCTACGGAAATGGTTAAAGGATGATCCTGGAGATATGGACCCGCGCACGATCATTGACTGGGACTATTATCTTGAACGATTAGGCTCTGTGATTCAAAAGCTCATAACCATTCCTGCTGCTCTCCAAAAAGTCCGAAATCCCGTTCCACGAATACCTCATCCAGAGTGGCTCCAACGACGAATAAATATCAAAGACGACAAGTTGAAACAAAAGAAGATGACTGACTTGTTCGACAAAACCCCGTTATCTGATCTACCGACCAACATAATGGATCATCGTTTACCGGCCAGCGGATATATTGAAGATATCGTCTCGCAGTCGGCACAAAAACATAAGCAAAACGCAGTTAATAAGAGTGGACAAAAGAGAAAAGTACCTGAGAACTCAACAAGCCAAGTGGACCCATTCGCTAGCCTTCCAACGACAATGCCATCCATTACTGAAGACTACGAAGAATGGTTGAAGTATCAAAAACAGAAATGGAAAATCCAAAAACAGGCTCGAATCCGCCGGCGAAAGCTCTTTGGTGAGAGAACGAGCACGACCACTAACGCGATTGGTAACTTCTTCCGGAACCAGGCTGAACTTGTTTATGTTAAAACATGGCAAATCTTGCAGCTCAAAGAAACTGATATCCCTGGCGAAGTTAGAATGTTTGTGCTCATTGACCACAAGATACACGCGCTTACAATCAAGGTGCCACGGCACATCTTCATTAACCTAAAGCGTGATGACCTTCCTGATGTCGATTTGGCTGGTTGTTCTGTGGAAAAAGTCAACCATTCGTTACCCAATGGTCACCCATCTGTCCATTTATTCAAAATAACTATGCCAGAAGACACTTATCTGAAAGAAGCTGACAAAATTTCTATATTGTTAAACCATCCGAGTGTCGAAGGAGTCTATGAGAAGAAGGTCCCTTTGAGCATTCGGGCTGTTTTAAAACTTGGCACACTTTGTACCTTCGATGAGACTCAACGGGGAGTTTTGGGAGAAGGTCTTGAAAATGGGTTCGAACTTTCGACACTTTTGCGCGCGGAACAACCAACGCAAAAGTACTTGGTGGACCCTTCTTTGGAGTATATATTTCTCTACCACGTTGTCTCTGGTGACAGACAAGTTTTCACTCTTTGCTCGAGCCGGAATGAGGAAGCCCATATTGTGATTCTTACACGGCTGAGAGAGGTGCAAGGTTTTCCGAACGTCGATAAGATATACAGGGAAGCGCTCGAGAAGAAAATCGAGGAGCATGCGGGCGAATCTTGGCAACAGATCTTCGACTATCAAGATAATATCCATTTCAAGATAACTCAAGTAACGACGAGGAGGAAGGCCCTCCTTGAGGTTGGCGATCTAATCAAGAAATTCCGAAACGAAAGCAATCAGGCAATTATGCTGGTCGTTCAGTCTCCCCAAAGGCGCCAATTGATGCAGGAGATACCGATAATCAAAGAACATCCGGTTCTTCCTCTAAGATCCGAGGCATCAGATAACGATCTGCCCCCTCTCGGCTGGCAATCCTTTGTTGCGAAGCAAATAGTAATGCACTATTTAGCTCTGGACTCATGGCTATTCCATCTTGGTGAACTAGCAAGATATGGCGATGTGCCTATCTGCAATTTAGAAAAGGACGATCCCAAGTATTTGATTGATATTGCATACGCAAGACGGCTGGAACAAAATAAAATAGTCCTATGGTGGTCTCCTTCACCCCTCCCGGACCATGCCGGTTATGAAAAGGATGACATCCTTGGACCGATGCAGAAGGTGGATATGCCCTCAAGGAACACTCCAGGGGCCTATTCCTCTGTCTGCATTGAACTCGAAATCCGGAACCTCGCAATCAATACAATTCTCACTTCATCTCTGATCAACGAACTTGAGGGAAGCGAATCTACTTTGTTGAATCCTGTTACGCCGAACGAAGCGGGAGCTTCGGACGGAACAGGCGTGTTATATTCGGATACTGCCTTCGCTTCAGCAGGCATTCTTGTCTTGCGTGACTTGGTGAAGTCTTGGTGGGCGGAGGCCTGTCAAGGAAATGGAATGGCTGATATCATGGTCCAACATTTGATTCGATGGGTGGAGAGTTCGGACTCTTTCCTCTATGACCGGTCACTACATTACCATGTGCAAATGATGTCTAAGAAGGCATTTCAACAACTGATGACTGATTTCCGACGAGTGGGTTCCCAGATAATCTTCGCCAGCCCTAGTCGATTATTACTTCAAACTACCAAGGCTGAAGTGGGGAACGCGTACGCTTACAGTCAGTATATCCTCAAATCAATAAAGGAGAAGCCACTCTTTCATTTCCTGGATTTGGAAATCAAGGAGTACTGGGATTATCTTGTTTGGTACGACGAATTCAATTTCGGTGGGAAGGGTTGTCAAGAGGTCGTTGAAGCTGAGAACCAAGAACTTGAAACAGTCATGCATTGGCAGCTGAGCAAGTTCCTCCCAACACCCTTACAATCCGTCTTCCTCGAATGGGTGGTTGAGTACATTGAACTCATGCATGGGCTGAAGCGACCCGCTATTGATAGCGGAGGGGCAGACCCTCCTAGAGCCACGCAGCTACCGTTCCAATCAATTACTGACCTTGACTCTGGGGAGATGACTTCAATACTCACCGAATCGTTCTCCAAGCCACTAAAGAGGCAAATTGCAGGGCTCATACGGCGACAACGTGATGAGCTCCTTCATCCTGAACTGGCCTCCGACTATGTATTCCCCACACTCCCTGGCGCATCATGGCGTGCAACAAAACCCGAACGCAACCCAACACTTGAGTTGGTTAAATCCCTCATGCAAGTTCTGAGCCTCTGTAAGACCACTACTCTGGAAACGCGACTCCTTCGGCGCGAACTGCTCGCCCTGTTCGAGGTTAAAGAATTCAGTGATGCGGGGAGGTTCGAAAATCCAAGCGGGAGTCTCAAGATTCCACAGTTGATATGCAATCATTGTACCATGACGCGGGATTTGGACTTATGTCGAGATGGTGATATATTACCCGAGAATGACGCCGAAAGCATTAGTGCCGGAAGTAAACCTTGGTGCTGTTTGTCTTGCGGCACCGAATATGACCGCCTTTCTTTGGAGGAGCGCCTAATCGGACAGGTACAGGGCCTTGTCGTGGAATGGCAAACACAAGACCTGAAATGCTCGAAATGCGGGAGCCTCCGAGTGAGCGAATTCATGGAGCACTGTTCATGTAGCGGGAGTTGGATTGCGACGGTGGACCTGAGTGGGATCGAAATGAGGTTGAGTCTTTTCAAGAGCGTAGCCGAATTTTATGGGCTAAAGATGCTGACGACTGTTACGAATGGCGTTTTGGAGAGGATGTAGATATTCATTCCATTTTTCTTCCTTGCTTCTGCTTGTGTACTAGCTTCCCGGAGGATATTCTACACGGTTTGCTAGGTCTAATGTTTTAATCAAATTACGAGGCAATGGAGATTTTGCATATATTGTTTAAACGAAGAATTGAATAATTAGTAGACCTAGTTATCCCTTAGGGCCTGTTCGGTGCGTCCGTACTTTTTGAACGCAATAGTGGATCTCATTAAAAATAGTGTATTTATCAATTATTTAGTAGCAAGCCGGTGTTGCGCCACCACACTATTCCATAATTGAGATCACTTCACACTGGCTTTTTTTTTAATTTCACATTCATCAACATGTCTGCATTGAAATCATATTCTCTCAAATCTATGATTGATTTGCCTATATTTAACTGTCTTTATTAGCTAGAATTCATGAAAGCAGTGAATAAGAATGTCACAGTATAATATCTCAATACAATATCTGAATGTGAAGAATGATAATACTCAAATCTCTATAATTTCAATCTCACTGAGCCAATGATCAGATTCTCAATTATTATTATTCTCTCAAACACTCTCTCAAATATGCTCTGAAACACTCTCTTATCAAACATCTACTATCTCTCAAAAGCAAACACTTGCTTCTCAAACCAGATATCTCACAATATTATGAAGTCTCACAATGAAAAAGACTCTACTTACTGAACTCTTGAAGATAAAAAAGAAAGAATTGAATACTGATAATAATAACTTCAAATCTGCAGGTTGAAATCTTGCTACACAGACTATTAAGTAGTTAACAGGTCAGATAATAATCAAAGAAGTATATGATAATCAGTGAAGAAAGATTAAATGAATTTGAATACTTTGAATAAGATATAAAAATCAGATATTCAGCTGAACATACAATCATAGACATGAAATCTATATTAATGATAAAGAGATTATGAATAAGTATTTCTTCAAACATTCTAATCTTGAAATCTTTTGAGAATATAGCTCTGAATTTCAAGAACTTATCAGAGAATTATTTAATAACAGGCTTGTCACTGACTGATTTGTAATTAAATATTATACAATGATATCTGAAATGAGAGAATCTTCTGTGATAAATTCAGAAACTGAAGAAAGTTCATTATCTTCTGTAATAAACTCATCAGTCTTCAGAAGTATCAATCACATAAAAAAACACTTAAAATTAGAGAATATTAATGAGAATATTCAAAATCTGACTGCAGCTGTAAACAGCCTCAGTCAGATTAATATACAGATTAAAGTTGAAAGAGAAACTGAGTGAGTCATCAAGCTATTTATGAGTGATATGCAGAATCTACTATCAGAAGATTGAAAGATTGATAGCAAGATTTCTTATTAATAATATACTATAATTTCACATTATTTTCTTAACATTCAAGAAGCTCAGCTGTATCTAGATTTAAAATATAGCTCAATCAGTGTTCAGTGAGATTATATTATACAGATGTTGAATGAGATGCTATAGCTGCAGTAAGAGTAGTAGAAGAAATAATAAAGAAAGTAGTAATAAGAGTAGTGATGAAAGTAGTGATAAGAGTAGTGATGAGAGCAGTAGTAATAATGCTTTTAAATCATTCTTTTTATATCTTATTTCTTTCAAAATAATCAAGAACATAACTGAATTTTACTCAATATTATAATAATGATAAATTACACTTATAAACATGTGTTTTAAAACATCACAACTTTTTATGTGAGATGATTAGATGATTTAGAGCATTTTATTAACTCATAAATTATAACATGATATTATATACAATGAATACATCAATATATTATCATTTTGTATTTTTAAAAGTGAAATTATATGTAGAATTCAACTATTTTTATTAAGATATATATAAACAATCTTGATTCATGTATCAATTATATATGACTTGCTGATTAATCTTCTATATTTTCAATATATCTCTTATAGAACTCTTACATTTTCTTTACAATCTGATCTCTTCTTCTAATTATCTTATCACTATTCTCTCTTTTATTCATTATATTTAACTGTTCTGACTTCATTTCATCATTCAAATTCTTCAGATTAATATCATCTAGATCTTTATACTTATTTATAAAGTTATGAAGTGCTGTCAATGTGAAAACAAGATTGATTTGAGTGATAATAAAGAATTCATCTCTTTCTCAATTGTATATTTGAAATCATTATTTAAATACTCTGAAAACTCACTTGATTATACTCTATAAACTGACATGCTGAAGATTGAATAATTTCTTCTTATTAGCAGATTATTTATCTGTCTTTTCAAACTTCTTGAGATGATATTACACATCAGAATAAGAAATTAATATTATAAAGACTCTTTTTGAATAATCAGTATCTGTAAGAAAATAGCAGGACTTCTTCACTGAAAAGTTATCATACTCTTAAGTCAGATTAAAAACATATATATTATGAGCAGAATCTTTCATTTCTGAGTATATATATACAAAGTTCATCTTAAAATCATATACTATCAGAATGTTCTGTAAGATTCATTCTTTTTAATTTCATCAGTCAGATTGCTGATTAGAAGAAATGAATATTAAAAGATAAGTATCATCTAATATTTTAATACAATCTCTAAAGAATGATCACTGCTTAGAATTACTGCTGAGCAAGTCTTTACTATATTTCATAGAAGATTTTAACAATTGTATAAGCTGACTGTAAAGCACACAGAGTGCTTTCAACATCTCATGAAATACTCTATATAAAATAAGTGAGTATTTTTAAAACAATAAAAGTCATATTATAATTATATAAGAAGCTAATTCTTACTTTGAAACTGTATTAAATGAATACTCAAATCTTTTCACAGCATCTTAATATGAAGATTCTTATACAATAATATAGAGAAATATTATTGCTTTCTCTTTCATCTTTATTATATCTGTAACACTGAATTTAGAGATAGTTGTATACTTTTTAAGAAGAATAATGAATTGAATGAATGTTTCTCAATAAAGATATGTGACATTCTTAATATAATTAGAGTGAGTATTTGAATTCAGCAGCTGAGCAGTATACAGAGTACTGTTGAAAGATCTTTCATATAATATTCTTTTCTATAATATTAAAGAGATTCTCATCATCAGATTCATTCTGACTATTTTAATAAGCAGTTATTAATGAGAACTGATATACTGTTGAATCATGATTTATAGAATCTGCTTATTCATCTTATTATTATTCTACTATTGACTATTTTTCATATTAATAATCTTTACTGACAATATTCTTCTGTAGAATGAAGAAAGAAGAAGCTTACAAAATACATTCTTTTTAAACAGAGTTCAGAGTTCATTTAAAAAGAATATGTTTTTATAAGCTTCTTTCTAATCAATATTAGTTAACTGTCTTCACTATAAACACTATTCTATACTATATTATCTCTAAAAGTGCTATTCTACACCATCACACACTGTTGAAGTTAAATATGACTTATTCATAAGATCTTAGTAAAAGATATAAGTATGACTGCTCAATTCACTGAACATCTGATCTTTTTCATCTGTACTTTGTAAAAAGCAGCTATACTATTAGTACAGATACTCTGTCCACTGAACAGTCATGATATTGGGGCTGTACTTTTTAAAAAAAGTGGAGATCTGTACAAAAAGAACGAGTACACACGGACGCACCGAACAGGCCCTTAGTACTTTTTATTCCTCCTGTACTCCTGTACATAATATTTGTACTCGTAGCAAGGCGCGACCTTGATCACCTGACGGCGGATTGTACTGACTCTATTCATGCTCCAGACAAACCTGAAACACCTCCAGCCGATAAAACAGCGAAAACTATTTAGCCGTTTAAAAATATCTCCTACTTGTGTGATACCTTCCATCTAGTCCTGATCCTAATTCCATTCCCCCTGCCGTTACATTTTCTTTGTCTGGTTGACAACCATCACGCCAACCCCGCCTCTGATAACGCACCAATTGCGCAGCGCATGTATGTTTTTGCACAACCTAACCCCCACTATATAATCCGGGGCAATTATTTATATGTCAATCTCATACTAACGGCACTTAACATAAGCCCTAGATCTTCTCCCTCCTGACTGCTTGACGGCCCTTAGCACAGTCCCTCGTCGCCGCATAGAGGGACTCCAACGGCTGCTTACCACAGCCCACCAACGTTATGACTCCCCAACCCCCAAGCAACCCGCGGCCACAAATCCAGCCCTGTAGATATAAAACCGGTAAAACCCTTGGAGCCGGATCGTACTCTGTGGTAAAAGAATGCGTACATATTGACACCGGCCGGTATTATGCCGCGAAGGTTATTAACAAACGATTGATGGCGGGGAGGGAACACATGGTAAATCCTATCACCTCGTGCCTTTGGCAATATCGAAAGCACTGTGGGGGACTGATAAGATCTGAGAGATAGGTCCGGAATGAAATTGCCGTGCTCAAAAGAGTGTCGATGGGACATCAGAATATTCTGACGCTGGTGGATTACTTTGAAACAATGAACAACCGTAAGTGCCTAGCTACAGTTTCCCTTGAACGCTTTCAAAACGATTTTTGGGGACAAGAGCTTATTGCATTCCTTTCCCTTTCTCTAGTGTATCTCGTCACCGATCTTGCGCTTGGGGGAGAGCTATTTGACAGAATTTGCCGTAAGGGCAGTTACTACGAGTCCGATGCAGCTGACCTGATCCGCGCAACCCTTTCCGCCGTCGCGTATCTTCATGACCACGGGATCGTACATCGAGATCTAAAACCTGAGAATCTCCTGTTTCGCACACCAGAAGACAATGCAGACCTACTAATTGCAGACTTTGGCTTATCGAGGATCATGGATGAGGAACAGTTTCATGTTCTAACCACCACCTGTGGCACCCCTGGCTATATGGCCCCAGAGATCTTTAAAAAGACCGGCCATGGGAAGCCTGTGTATGTTCTACCTCCCTCGACAACGCGCCATTTGTCATGTTAGGCACAACTAACGTGCTTATCTTGTATTTTCCTTTCGCTCTGGAAAGGGATATTTGGGCCATCGGAGTAATAACATATTTCCTCCTTTGCGGCTACACTCCATTCGATCGCGAGTCAAATCTCGAAGAAATGCAAGCCATCCTCGTTGCGGATTACTCATTTACTCCCCTCGAGTATTGGCGCGGAGTCTCCGTAACCGCCCGCGAGTTCATCAAGCGCTGCCTCACAATCGATCCCAAGGCAAGAATGACTGCACACGAAGCGCTTCAGCACCCCTGGATTAACCCACCTACCGACCCCATGGACCCATCATCGCCTATGCGCATGGGTTCTGGCGAGGATCTCTTACCTGTCGTCAAGAAGAACTTCAATGCAAGGCGCACGCTTCACAAAGCCATCGATACCGTGCGGGCAATTAACAAGCTACGAGAAGGTGGTGGACTAATGATGGAGGGCGCCATGAGTGTAGACCCCAAGCCAGAGCACGTTAATGGGAGCAATGTCGTCGATGACAGCGGGCGACAACAGCCGGATGGGGCGACGAGCGGTCATCCTGGTGATGAAGATCTCATGGAGATTGATAGTAGGGGCAACGCTAGGGGCCAAACTGAGGAACAGATCCGGCAGCAGGAGCGTAAAGTAAAAGAGACGGTTACTGGATTGTGGCAGTCGAGCTCAAATCGCCGGTGATCCTGCTGTAGAGAATTTTAAAGAGGACCTTGTGGGAGATACGTCTCTATATCTTTCGGCTCTGTTTTGCATTTGTGAATTCCCTTTCCATCTCCGCGGTGATTGGCCCTTTTCGGGCTCTTTTTCTTTTCGAAACTGAGGACTCTAGCGGAGTGACAGAATGTTTTCTTAACTCCACGTACGTCCGGACTAATAGCCTCGGAGATGCACACAAATCTCTTGTTCCCTTTTCTAGTCCAATAGTTTTTCATTCTGCTATTTTTCTCCAGCTAACATCACAGGTTTGATGGTTGTGAAACAATACACTTTTCTCTTCCCTCCTCAGAATGGAGAATATATACCAATTGCAGTGCTTTTCTTATGTGGCATCCTCCCTTGGGAATCAATTTACATCCTTGTTTTATCCTGTCAAATATTTACTACTTATTTGAGTGCAAATTATATCATTTACGGCACTGGGATTATGAGAAAATATATACACTGAAGATGAGTAAATTGACCAATGCCTAACCACGTAGCAATTCAGTTCATTGCCAGCCGAAACCCTTCCCGACGCGAAGCGAATCGTGATGGAGTGGTTTTGCGGCCGACAGCTAGAAAATGCGAGCAGCTACAAAGCTGAGTTGGGATGCTGTAGCCCAGTCTGCTGAAGTGGAAACATTACCAAAATAATTCGCGATGACAAACTCTACGCGTAATTATAATGTAAACAATTATCCGCGAGTGTCCTGTAACCGGAATAATCATATATTAAAGAAGTAGGTACCACAATCAGCCTCCATTTATGTTAGTTTAATAATATTGGAATTCTATGAATAGAAAAAGAACCGGGCAGGATATATCGGAAATCATGGGAATTAAGGATGGAGAAGAAAAAATAACATGAAAAAAGGAATTGGAGATCGAAAAGAAGAGGGGACAGAAGGGAGAAAGAACAAATAATATATCTCCAAATCATTCACATGCACGACTCTAGAAGTTCCCGTCGGCTGCCGGACGACTCCACCCACTTCCTCCACTCCTGCCATTCTGAAAAAGTGGCACTCGCCTTCAGCCCTTGATACCTAACCGTTTTAAACTCAGAAACGTCCTCCCACGGTTTCCCCGTCGCATAGTTTGCACTGGCTGATGAATTCGCAGTTCCTCGAAGAAATCTGCGTGCCACCCTACCGCCAGCACTGCTGCTACTGTAGCCCTCCCAGCCTGCTTTTCTCATTAAGCTTTCCACGGCTTCTTCCTTCGTCCAGCCTTGCTCAACGGCTACATCAGGAAGGTAGGTAGCGCCTAACCGTCTTCCGCGGTATATAAAAGATATTCGTAGGCCGTGGGTGCCCAGGGTCCAGTCGAGAGCATGGGAGCAGGGTTCAAAAGAGGAGAGGAGGGTTAGAGAACAAGAAAGGGAAGGAAGTAGGGATGCTGGGATAGGCGGGAAACGCGTGTCACCGAAAGCACTGGAGCGGGTTGTTAGTTAGGAATTTCTAACTTTTAATAGATAATTGCAGTAAACGGGTCGAAAAATGTAGAGAGCAACGAGCAAATATATATTTATTAACGTACGATGTGAGTGCGTACGATTTCAAGCCAGCGGCCAGTTCCTGTGGCTCAAATGTACCTATGCAGCCGCGAAGCGATTTATGACCGCTGGTGGAGAGGGTGTTCCAGGTGACGAATAATGGGTATGACATGTCAGCAGTATCAGTTGAAAAATTTGGCGCAGTTCCTTTTGATCGTGAGAACAAAGAAGAGGCTCTTGGACTAATAGAGGTTGTAGAAGATGCGCTTGTCAAGGCGGAGCGCGAGGAGCTATGGGAGAGTGCAGAAGGGGTAGATGAGTTGGACGAGTGGGATGACGAGACCCCTTGAAGGCGGCTAATGCTAGGCAATTGCATCCTCTGAGGGGGGTTTGTAATTTCAGCTCCATCGTCAGATTCGTCGCAGTCATCGTTTCGCATTTCTGAACGATCTCCATTCGCAACCGTTTCGCCGTTGTCCAGGTGATCTGCAGGATCCTGAAAATTGGCTCGCAAAGCAAGATCTTTCGTAGATTCGAATGCTTCCCACAGGTCTTCTACCACTGCAAGACTAGGAGCATCTGTGCCGTTAAAGACAGCAGATAGACATTCAAAACAGTAGAAACATTGAGCGGGAGAAGCCATGAGGGCTGCGTCGCTGCTGGCGGGCAAGTCCGGCGAGCCCCTCTCAAGGAGAAGTAATGAGGAGAGGGGCTGCAAAGCGGTGATGAACGAGACAGGACTTGATGCCAAAAAGAGCTCTGTGGAAGCTTTGAAAATGTGTGTGATTTGTAACGAAGCAGGTGCCCACGTAGCAGAGGGGTAGTTAACTAGGGAGTTGGATATGAAAACTGGAGGCTGGGGCTTGCAAGCGTTGGCTCTCGTTCCCCGCTTCACCAGTCTGTTTTAACTACGGAGTAGTGGTAGCTAGGACATTGGAAGTTGGCGCTTCATATACAGTTATTCTCTCGCATGTAGCCAACGCTCCAAGCCTCGCCGTCTGACTTGACACGTCGAACAAGGAAGAAGATAGCGGAAGTGAAGTACATATTCCCCGTGACTGGGAGGGAGCGCGAGGACACAATTAGCGTATTTTTTGGCGTGTATTCGTGTATTAAATATATGAAATATATGAAATAGTGTAATTTATATAATCTATTCTATTTGATCTAAGTTAACTAACTCTAATTAATATCCATATATATAACTGTCAAATGCAACCTCACTACCTCTCATTAATAGGACTCATATCTATTACGATGTTGAAGATATTCATGTTTTTCATAAAAATGAAATTAGGTATCAATACTTATTTTCAAAATTTCATTGCAGTGTGAATTCCACTAACTACGCTGTGGCACAACAACACTATTGTTGCCTGGCGGGATAAACCGCAACCATTCTCCCATTTCCCAACCATCTTCCATTTACAACGCCTTTATCTTGACCGCACTCTCGATCTTCATGGGCCGCGAATTCGTTTACCAGCACTGGATCAGTGCTCTTTTTACTGGCTATCACCTTACCTGCCCTGATGGGACTGTATGAAGGTTTTGTACAAAGTTGACTGAAAAGGCAAAGTTTGTGCCAGCAGAATGTTCGGACACAGACATTGCATGGTCTGAGGCCCAGGCGGTCTACATCTGTCAACAAATCAAGGGTGAATCAGTTGGCATGGAGGCAATTCTCAAGGTTTAACTTCAGTAAGTGATGAATTGCCGCGGCCATCGACTCTTGCACTAGTAGAGCACCCCCAGAATATCCTTCTAGCTGGGATCCCTGCAAGCGCGCTCAGTGTGCTTTGAAAGATCCATTACTGTGAACATGATAAGGATATATTTACTTCAATGAAAAGATTGCAAAGTGACATCAAAACTACTTAATGTAGTGCAGTCCTTGCAATCACAGGATTATTTCCCTGTCTCAGAAAGATATATTGTGTTCTTGGTGATGAAAAAGGTTCCTGGAGTTACACTGTGTGATTTTTGATCTTATGGCCTTGTCAAATGTGACAAGATTAGGGTTGCATTTCATAAAGGCCTATCATATGTTTTGTGCCTTTCTTATTTCTATAATTTTAATTTCTGCTTTTTTTGGACTTGGGCGGGGGCGGGGCTTTTTTGGAAGGGATTTGACTAATCCAAACTACACAGAGAAATGTACAACTTAGGCACTTGTCTGTTGAATTGTCATCTTGGAAACCTCATTTACAATGAAGAGGCAGATAAATGATATATTTTCTATCATCAATCAAGCTGTGAGATTTGTTTCATCTCTAAAACTCACTCTATATCTATGTTTTCTTGCAGTTGATTTATAGACTATGACAGTATTCTGAAGTCATTCAAGTTTCAGAAGAGAGATTATCTTCACTGACGTCTAGGTCACTGAGGTTCTTATAATTAGCATGAGTGGTAGGAACTCTCATCTTCATGTTATAACTTGAGTCTTTCAGATATGAAGTATAGGTGCAGGTGCTCTCTATTCTTTACTCTGCCAGTTTAAATTATCCTCATCCGAGCAGCAGACATCCGATCTCTCCTGATATACTCAATTATTGGTTTGAGCTCTCGCGCAGTTATGCAAAGAGTATTGTATCTCTTACAGAGTCTACAAATGTGTTCGCTATTTGTAACTGAGTTGATACATCAAATGACTAATTGGGCGTGGTCAATTCAATAGACTGTAATACAGTAATATCTTCTTACTCCATGAGCTCCTTCTTAACAGTATGAAAGTCCGCTCCATGTTCAACCCAGTTAATTTGAAGGCCCATCTGTGGGGCGGATGGGCTTGACACCAGTTTCCAAGCCTCTGAGAACTCATTTCTCACTTAATTTGGACTTGTCCAGGTTAAAACCAGCATCTCTGGCCCTCTGTCCCCTCATTTCATGAGTTATCCTCTCCCCATTGTGCAAAAACTTGCGAGGTAAACAAAAAACTAAGATGTAAGTTTTTTCCATTGATTACGGGGAGCTCACAATAAGAATAAAAAGTGGAGGGAGATTGTAGATCTTGGTAGCAAAGCAGAGCCAAAACCAGTTGGAAAGTGAGGAATAGAAAAGGGAATGTTGAATGTTGGCAAATGTGTCCCTTTTACTACAGGTGGCCGCATCTCCCACTCCACAGGCCAGCTGAAAAGAAATCGCTCCATTGTGTAAACTTGACAGAGATGAGGAGGTATCACATCATGCTTCTTCTTAGTGGGTGGAAAGAGGGTGAGGAGGGTGAGGGAAGGGTTAAGATATAGTGGTGAGACAACTCGCGCTAATCCAGAGGGGGAAAATCTAGTAGAAATATTGTGTTCCTGGATTTCTGGATTTCTCTCCTTTTAAAATATATTGTATCTTCACTTCTGTATTTCTGCTTCTGCATTTATATTTTCATGTATCTAATTTGGTCAACACTAGCGTCAATGTCTGGGTAGGAGATACAGCTTTGGAGATAGATACTACTTACTGTTTATAAGCCGTATTCCCTGTGGGCGTTAATTTCTCCTCTGCTGTGAAAGCCAAGTGGTGATGTCGAATACTTTAACGCTTGCAAGCACCGGCCGGCGAAGCGAATCGGCTCGTTGCCACGGCCACATAGTCCATGTACAGATTATGCACTACTCGTGCCATCGCTGCTTCGGGACGAGTAGTGAATCATAGAGTCTTAAAGTGACCTGAACTGCTTCAGTTTCCTCTTAATTGAAATTCTCAGAATATACATAACTAGCTGAAGAGCACAGTTATGCAATACAACGCTGTATACTAAAATGGTTCAACAAAAGATTAAGTGGGGCTCCGACGCTAGCCAATAGCTTAATTTAAGCTTAATTTATCTAGTGAGCACAAAGCCCGAGGGAACCACCCTACCAACCGACGATCACGCAGTAAAAAAGCCCATACAACAAGACGAGCTATGGTTGTGCGAATTAAAGGATTTTAGGTTCCCATCACCATCACATTCGAGCTCTTGAATAGTGACCAGGGCGAGATATAAATCTGGCGCTGCTTCGAATGGCCACGCAACCACCGTGCCTGAAAACAGCTCTCGTCTCAGCCTCGTTTCAGCAACCATGCCAAGTTCCAGTGCTACTGTTATGAACCAAGCAACTTCCGTCGTCATTATCCGATGTTCACTTTCCAAAATATCGAATTCCATGATTAACAGACTTGAGACTGGACTTCCTCTGGGTATCCACCGCTAGCAAACGAGAACGGGGCGACAGAGCCTCTCCAAACATCATGGTTACCCTACGTGGACGAATAATTTCAAATTCGATAGAAATAGCGCCATATTTCTAACATGTCTGCCGCACAGCTAGTTTCACTGTGTCTCCTGTTAGCTTCTGGCAGCTTTTATATACATCACGAAGTCCCCTACGGGAAGGGGGTGGCCCGCTTCAAGCTTTTTTATTCCTGTGTCACTTTTACCAAATCCGCAAATCTTGTGATATTGTGCCCGCCGCCTCTTTCCTCTTTTTACATCCATTTAAAGCTGGGAGTACACGATTCCTTTCCTCATCCTTTTGATCTGGCGTCCTGTGGAACCCTCACTTTGTTCAGACCACTTTTCCGTTAACGAGACAAGCCCTGCGTCTGTCGCCGGACGACTTCTGTCCCTCTCCAATCGAACAAACTTCCTCTCCTCATTCAAGTTCCTGCCTAAACCATCGAAGCCATCTCGCCCAAAATGAAGCCCGTAGTCGTTCTCTTTTCTTTCCTGGTTGTTGCCCTTGCTGCTCCTTCCACTGTTGATTGTACGGTAGACCCTGATCAATGATTCAACACCAAAAGGAAGCTTGCTAATTCTACATTACAGCTCGCAGCGACACTGAACCAGCAATGGTGAACGCAGCGGGTGAAGTTGTGCCATTTGATCCTGCTGGAGTTGTTGTGAAGGGATAGATGTCTTGGAAAGCGTTTACTGATTGGGACCGAGGGTTGGCCCAGAGTGGCTGCGTGGAATTTGTTGGAGGGATGGAGGTTTAGTAGTTCAGCCAGGTCCGGGACTCGAGGAAGTTTGGTGAATGCTCATGTGGATGTTATGCCGTGTATCATATCGAGCCGGACGCGACCAAACGACTTGTGTACACCTGGACAATTGCGTCTACGTACAGAATCATGTGAGTTTTAGATGTCCTTTATATAATTGTTTGGCTGGGTTAGATTATCGTATTTTCTGTAAAGGCGCGTGCCACAACTTTCTGTCTGCCAATAGCGGATTAGTAGTTTATCAATTCGAGCAAACGAAGCTGATCTCTCGGTACTAGCTGCTATCCTTGTCTGTTGTGTCCTCGTTCAATGTTATATGTTCATTATATGGGTGATATTGTAGCTTCTAATTCTCTATTTCAATTCACGATCATCTTTGGGTAATTTCATACCCATCATTCCTAACAAATTGCTTCCGGGTCCTGCTGAGCCAGCTTGGCTGCGGAAACTCTCGAGCAAATTTTTAGCAAGATTGAAGTCCACACTCTCAGCATGGTAGTCTTCCTCATCGTCGGTGTTGCCTTCAATTTCCTGGTTTCCGTCCGAGGGCCTTTTGGGACGAGCTCGCGCTTTTCCTTTAATAGCCTGTTTACCCTTTCCTTTTGGATCCAAATCGAGGACGCCAGTTGCTCGTAATTCAGCCTCCATTTGTTTTGATAAATCTTCTATCTCTTTGCTGTCATCCTCATTTTCATCATCGCCTGAGTCCAGTTCTTTAAATCGCTTCGACGTTATGGGGCGGGCACTCCCTTCTGGCTTCGAAGGAAGTCCCATCATTTCCTGCATCATTTTCGAAAACTCATCCTCGTCGAATGATACTTCTTTATCTTCGCCATCGCTACTGAGATCTTCACTATCAACATCGAAATCATCAGAGTCCACTTCGTCAATAAAATCGGCCCCATCCAGACCAGCACGGTCGTCATTCAAAAATTGCTCGAACCGTTCCACTATTCTTTGAAGATTCTCTTGAGCAGCTTGGTCGCCAAATGCACGGGCAGGTTTAGCACTTTTGTCAGTCCCATGTCGGCCTTTCAACTCCTCCTCAAGGTCCTCGAAGCTAATATCCAGCCACTTCTCGTCATCCTCACGTTTCTCCCAGGTCGATTCAATTTCATCATTCGTAGGTAATTTCTCATCTCCAGATTCAATATCTCCTAGTACGAGTTTTATTTCCCTTACTGCTACTTTATCCTGGTTTTGAGGGTCTGACAACAGCATTTCAAACCCACTAGTGACTTTCATCCCCGTTTCAGCGCGAGCATAATCCGCTTTCGCGGTTTGAGGTGGGAGTTTATCCTTCCAGGCTGGAGGCAGTTCAAAATCCTGGCTCTTTAATTGTGCGTACCCAACCCTTGTAAAGCGAACGCTGACGGTGACTAAATCCTCAGGCTTGAATATTAGCTCGCGTGTGTCCTTTGACTTCAAGGGTCGCAAGGATATCGGATCTCGAATATAGAAGGCGTCGACCGCCGGTGATATATAAGCCGGTTTCATGTGTAGGATGTGCGCAAGCTTCCGAGGAATAGTAATTGGGGACGTGTGGAGGTTGTCAGCAATCTGTTTCGGGTAATTTCGAAGTCGATAAAACGCCTCGGCTTCGATCGTTGGGGAATGCATTAATCGTTTAGGTTCTACAAGAATTATTTCCCTCGCCTCTCGAAATGTTAGAGGTTTAAGGGTCGATCCTTTGACTCTATCTGGTTTGATGATGAGTAGTTGTTTCTTGTGAATCCAAACCTGGAAGATGTTAGCATATCGAATCTAGTTCTAGGAGTATTCATCACCTACTCTATGATTTGCAACCTCTGGTTCGAGCCAGGATGGCAGTGTTGCTGCGGCTTCCACTAGCAAAAACTCGCCATCACTATCCGAGACCTTCACCCATAGGTCCTCAAACTGTCGTGTCAACTCCCGCAATATATAAACAATAACCCATTCGTCCTCGATTGAGTCGCCATATACAGTTCGTCCACGAAGTAAATTCAGTCCTATCGCAAGTTCGCGAAAGATATGGTTAGTTTTCCTACGTCTGGGCGCCCTCCAAATACTTTGGTATCCGAGGGCCAACTAAACGAACCTGCTCACCATCTTCTCGAATCATTTCCAACATAAACGCATCACGCTGCCATATATAGTCTTTCAAGTGCGTTTTCGCGAGCTCTGCTGCGGCTCTTTGGACTTCGGCGAGGCGGTTCCGAATTAAATCAGCACCACCTCCTGTGCAGTCGGTATTACCTGGGGAAATCCAATACAGTGAATATTCGATGCAATCATCTGGGATCTGGGGTTTAGGAATAGGGCGAAATGTAGACCTAAACCACTCGATATCCTCATCTGTAGGGGGCGCCATGTTGATATTAATCCAACGTTGCTATCTATTCACTTTCAGGGCAACCTTTGAATATTTTTCCAGTCACAATGACCTCACCAATTCTGCAAACACCCGGGCCGATGTTTTGCCGATTGAAAATACGCAGCGGGAGTGCGCTACGCCCGATTAGGCTAGATGTAAACATCGCAGCATCCAAGAATCCAAACCCATCTTTCCGCATCGTCACCGCGTATTTTATTTCTCACCAAGGTTCTGGGGGGTACGCATTCCCATTCAATGATTTTCCTTATAATGAATATACGACCAGCCCAGCACGATTCAGGTTAACCGTCATCTATAGGGCAAAAATGGCACTGCCTTACATCGATACCCCACGCACCGAAATTGATGGGAACGCGACTTATTTGACCAATGGCTTCCGCAGCGTTGCGCGAAACAATTTGTCGGCTTTAGGCTCCGTTGAAAACTCATTTCAATCGCCTTCCAAAGACCATGATTTAATCAAAGGCTTCGAAACTGGGCGAAGTCGAAAGCGTTCTGAATTCAGCCTAAAAACGCCCAGAGCGGGCTCACGACTAAACCCGACGAGAAATGCTCTCCATGACCGCCGCAATCTTCCAACTATCCCCCCGCCCAAGGGAGAATTTACTCCGATGTTGAATAGCGTTTCCAGGAATAACTTTATCCGACATAATAATTCGACACGTCGACGCTCTGGGCCTGAAACGCCAGCGGCTTTGAGAAATGGATATCACAGTAACCGCAATACCCCGGGGTTGCCAAACATGGATATGACTGGATATGGCGATGACTCCACGAACCTTGACGGTGACCCTACGCCCGTTCCACGGATAGCCAGCAGCAGCGCTCAGAGCACCCCTCTCCCTACCCTGCCAGGGAGGAATGGCAACGTTGTCGGGGATGGACATAATATGATGACATTAAAGGAACAAGAAAATGTACTCTTTCTAGTTTTGATTTGCGCGTAACCAAAGCCTATACAGGTCACTAACAGTTTCTAAATTGAATCGCAGGTTATTAATAAACTCGACAAGGAGAATTTCGGTCTAAAATTAAAGATCCATTTCTTAGAGCAAAATTTTAAGTTGTCGAAACCCGAATTTGCCCAAGCCGCGATACAAGAAAACACCGAACTCAAGGTCACGAAACTCACGATGGAGAGGGATTTACATCAATGCAAAAAGAGTCTTCGGCGCGCGGAGCAGGATTTGGCCGGATGTCAGGTTGAATTACAAGAGCTGCAGGCACAGGCAAATCGGAGACACGTTAATGAGAATGTGCAGAGAGAATTGGACCAAATGCGCGAAGACTTGGAGAGCAAAGAAAACGAACTTCATGAGCTGCAAGAGGAGTTGGAATCTATGAAAGAAAATGAGTCAGAAAGTTTACAGCAACTTCGGGAAGAGATACAAGATCTTCAATATGACCTCAGACAGAAGAACGAACTTGTTGAGAACCAGAAAGAGGAGATTGAAAATCTGAAGGAAAAGCAGCAAGATGAGAAGAGCTCGGTTGCTGAGCTTGAAGCCGAACTTCAACGGGCCAAGGAGCAGTTAGAGGACCTCCAAAAGAGTCTAGAGGAAGCCAGGTCAGAAGCAAGGGAAGCAAAGTCAAAGTGTGAAGAGGCGATTGAAGAGAAGGAACAAGCCGTGGAAGATTTGAAGGAACTTCAAGATGAAATGACTGACAAATCCTTCTACACAAAGGGGCTCAGTCGCCAACTCGAGGAGAAAGCTCACAAGTTGGAGGACGAACTTAACAAACTCCGGAAGGAGCATAATGTACTGGAGGAAAATTTCCAGAGTAAGACTCGGGAGGTAGCCATGCTTGAAGATGAAATTGAAGGGCTTAAAGAGGACCTATCTGCCGAGAAAGCGAGGATGCAAGACGATATTGATTTAGCACAGCATGAGCGGGACATTGCTAGAAGGGAACGGGACGACATTTCGGAACGTCTACACCACGCCGACGACGATATTCGAAATGGAGAGAATGCGAAGGATGTCTTGAAAACTCGACATGATGCCCTTACAAACGAGTCTGCTAGTCTTCAGCGTGATCTGGCCCAGGCAAAGACGAGGATATCGAATCTTGAAGAACAAATCGAGGCGGAAAGGGACCAATACATGAACGACACGGACAAACTCCGATTGCAGCATAGGAATCAGCTAGACCAACTTCACGATGAAATAGAGTCCCTCAAACATGACATCGAAGATCGAGAGGGTCAGCATGCAACAGATCGGGATAGGTGGGATAGTCTGAAACGGAGTTTGGAACTTCAAAAGGAGAAGGTCGAACAACAAGCCGCTGGGTATAAACGGACGATAGACAAACTACAGAACGTCGAAACAACACTATCTAGTCGCGAAGATAAACTCCAAAATATCATCGAAAGCGAGAAGCAACGCCATCTACAAGACGAGGAACTACTGAACCGCCAAATCAAAGAGCTTAATGATGATATTGCGTCCAAACGCCAAGCTGCCGAAAGTCAGAGGCAGGAACTACTGAGTGTTAAAGAAGAATTAAGGGCAGCTAGGCGGGAAGAAAGCAGCCTAAGAGAGAAGTTGCAAGCCTTAGAGGATGATATTGTGGTATTGCAAGCTACTCTTGAGGAAGAGAGAGCCTTTGCCGGAAATCAGCAGAAATCGGGCGCTTCAGATCTGGAGAAACAGTTGCAAGCGGCTAATAAAGAGAGACAAGTTGCTCGGGACAACCTAGCCAACGCGAACATCGAGATTCATAATCTACGCATGGCATCTGCTGAACTAGAAGCTGAGCGTGATGAATTGCAAAGCCAAATCCGTCGAATTCAAGGCCAAGTCGATGATACTTATCGCCTCGATCAGGAAAAGATTGACCTCCGAAAATCTAAGCTGAGACTCGAAAACGAGTTGAGCCGCCTGAGAGACGAAAAGAGAACTTTGTTGGAAACCAAAGACAAATTACAAGCCGATCTTGACAATGAAATCGTACGGGCGGCAGCAGAGGAGAATCGACTGTCTGGAGAGATTGATCAACTGCAAGATAAGATATTCATGTCATCAGAAAGGCGCGACCGTGAACTCGTTGCCGCTAGAAGCAAAGCTGAGCGACTTGAATTACGTACCCGAGAACTCGAGACCCTCCTAAACAACCAGGCATCTCCTCGCGTGGAAGCGTCCCTGTCACCCGACTTTTCAATCCTGCGGCGAAGCTTGGAAGATGCACGACGCCAAGAAAGAGACGCACTTCAGCGTGAATCGACGCTCAAGGCCTCTATCCGCGACCTGAAAACGCGTATCGTAGAATTGGACCGGGAAAATCATGAGCTCAAAGCAAAAGAGCTAACAACTCGCTCTTCCAACGGGTCTCCGACAACACTTGAAGTCCAAGGGGAACTTCGAAGCCTCCGCAGCCAGCTCCTTGACATGCACAAGTCCATGAAAGATCTAAAAAGCCAAAACCACGAATTGCAACATGCCACAGTAAACGAAGAGGAGCGTAAAGACCTGCACGAATTGCTTAAATCCTCGACTCTTGAAGCCGAATCTCTAGCAGTGCGACTTTCCGAGCGTGACGCCCGTGTTAATGAATTGAGAATACACCTACGGAGAGTGCGTGACGAGCGCGCCATTTCCATGAAGAAAGCAGACGCGGCTCATCGCGAGCTAGAGTCATTACAAGACCGATACGACGCTCTACTAGATGAGTTGACGCAGCATTCAGAACGAAAAGGAAGGCATGCCAGGGAAATAAATGGCTTAGGCAAGGAAATTATGTGGTTAAGGGCACGATTGGCCCGGGAGGAGAAGTTCCGCAGGGACCTTGCGTGGAGTAAGGGGCTTATGGAGCTGGGTGAACGGGTTCGGATTGCCTGGTACGTCAGAATGTTCCCAGCTTGGCAGTGTTTTCTTCTTGTCCCCCTCCTTCCTTTCAAACAATGGTCATGACTGACATGCATACTTTTCTTGTAAACAGTAACGAAACCGATCTCAAAATGATCGCTGAAATGGGAGTGAAGCCCCCAAGCCCTCGAAAGAAATTTAACCCTCGGCTAAAACTCAAAGCTGTAGCCTGCACAATCTTGGCTGTCTGCCGGATGCAGATGATGAGTGCCGAATGGAGCAAGTCAAAGAAGCTTGGTGAAGGCCTTCGCAGAGCAAAGGGGGAGGTATTGAAGAAAAGGGAGAGTATGAGAAGGAAAGCCGTACCGGCTGAGAGTATTTGATATACTCTGGTCTAAAGGTTCCCATTCTCGTTTCTTCTACGTCTGTTTCCTTATTTCTATGCGATCTACAAATTTCTTGACTTTTAGAGGATTGAATTGGAGAGTATTTCTCGCTTGATGTTCATCCATTGCTTACCATGTACAGCACTTGATGGTTCTTTTGCCCGGTGTTTCTGGGGTTCTCTACCGTTGCTCTACGGAGCTTTTTCCCTGTGTTCTTTTCCTTTTTATAACCCCGCTTGCATAATGATGATCTTCAACTCTCTCGTTTAGTTGGTTTCTGCTTGATAGGCAAGCCTTATATATATGATGTACATTGGCGTTCTCAATAATTAGTTTCTGGCGTTCTGGGTTTCTTCTTATTTGCATGTAAGACGCAAGGCATCCATAATTATTTATTCTATACCGCTCACTATTTCCGCTTTTGAGTCGCGCCCGGCTGAAATGATAATAGAAATGTGTGGATGATAGAGGGGAGTGGAGATATGACAGATCATCCAACGTTTTTTAATTACCGGGGAAGTGAGGAATGTACCTGAGCGGAATGAGATGAACAAAAGTGCCAAAAACCAATGTGAGTATCGTCATCCGGACGAGAAAGGGGGTTGAGGTTGGCTAGCCAGAGGCGCTCATCATAAATATTCCATCTGAGGAAAGAGATAGCAAAATAATCAAGCGACAATAAGGGTAGCAGAACTTGATAACAAAGACGAAAATGCGCCTCGCAACCATTCATAATTCATTCATCAGAACTGGACAAGGGCGCCTCATAACATCCAGAGAAGCAACATGTATGACTCTAAATAGAAATGTAAAACGGAAACATGTAATATATCACGATCCATCACTACCAAACTCCTGCGTCCATTCGTTATTTTTCTTCAAATCGTCTTCGCTCACGGTGGGGCGCGAAGACTTCAACGCCTTGATGAAATCTCTGAGCAGAAGTGGTGGCTCGAGAAGTTTATCTGAATCTATGTCTGCCCAGGTCATTTCCGTGGCTCCGTTGTCACCAGGTGAACATGGTGTGAGCTTCTCTTGCCCGTCGACAATTACCTGAAAGATATCTGTTAGTCGTTGATAATATACCCATGTTTATGCGAGCATGGTAGAGGAAAGGGCCAGTGGTAAGGAAAAGGATGAGATACCTTCTTATAGTGGGTTGCAGTTTGAATCTTTCGGATAGGTTGCATGAGCGCGTCTTGGACAACGACGCTGATATCGCTTCCGGAGTATCCTTCGCTCATTTCAGCGAGCTGTCGGTAATCTGCATTCGTCAGATGACACGGGGTGCTTCCAACATTTAACATGAACATCTTCATCCTTGCCCGAAGATCTGGGAGGCTGATGTGGACTCTCCGTTGGAATCGTCGTCTGATAGCAATATCTAATTGCCAGGGGATATTTGTGGCGCCTAGAACTAGGATTCCTTCAGAATCCTTCCCGACACCTTGCATTTGTACGAGCAATTCTGTCTTTATGCGACGGGACGCTTCTGACTCTCCTTCACCACGGGGGCCGCAAAGGGCGTCCACCTCATCGATAAATATAATTGCTGGTCTACTCTCACGGGCCATATTAAACAATTGCTTGACGAGCCTGAAAGTTGAAGTTAGACATAATCCCAAGCCGGGGCACTAAACACATATCACATATAATAATATTTTCCCTACCTTTCACTCTCACCCATCCACTTGGAGACCAAATCACTACTGCTCACACTAAAAAAAGTGCTATTGGCTTCCGTAGCTACTGCCTTGGCGAGGTACGATTTGCCGGTTCCTGGTGGCCCATAAAGTAATATAGCCTTCCACGGTTGTCTCTGGCCGGTGAAAAGATGGGGGAATTTCATGGGCATAATAACCGCCTCTTTGAGAGCCTCTTTCGCCTGATCAAGGCCAGCAACATCATCCCACTTGACGTTTGGTTTATCAGATAATATGGATCCAGCTAAGGCAGCTCGTAACTTTTTCGCTTCGGCGTCTTCGTCGTCGTCGTCTTTCCTAATTCAGGCGGCAAATGTCAGCTACATACCCTCGTGAATTAAGGCTTTGAGGTAGTCTAGATACACAAAACAGCCCAAAAGCCAGGGTCTAGGGGTAAACGTACGCTCCTTTCCCACTACCATGTGCGACCTTCCCATTCGCTCCTACAGCACTGGGCTTTTTCCTATTATCATTCCCTGCCAGGTGGTTCTTCAGTTTTTCAGCCCTTTCCATATATTCCCCAGTCTTTTCTCGAATCATTTCCTTCGATTTTGGGTTCTTCTCCCATTTCAAAGCGAGCATGAACAGCTCCAGGGCGGAATAGTAGGTCTGGTAGGCTTTCTCATATTCGCCGGCATTATCATGTTCGATGGCCTTTTTCACGGTGTCTATAGCCCGTCCAAGGAAATCCGTATTGCTCATGGCGGCAAGGTATACCTATAATTCTAATCGACTGGACCTAATATAGATCTCTGGGTTGAGACCCGATTTGACGTTCCTCCGCTGGGTGTTTGGCGGCGGTTGCGACAAGTAACCCCCCGCTCAAGCAAAACGAAATGCGTGGTATGTAGAATGGTGCTCAGATGCCGCTCAAAATTCAGCACTGGACAAGAACTGGAGATATCCTGTAACTTTGGATGTCAAGTTAAATAAGTGAGAGAACAGGGGCTGTTGTTGCTGGCAGGTGGAAAGTTGTGGATTGGAATGAGATATTTAAATATGGGGTGAGGTGCAGGCGACACTCCGCGCTAGTGCGGTTGCCATCGAGATGTGGTTTCATGACAAACATCCTGTCTTGACACCATCCCCTGCATCTTTTCAAAGACAGCAAGCCTCTGCCCTAACATTAATATTAATATACAACGCCTCTCTATATTGTCGCCATGGCAGATCCACAGAAACAGCTTCAGGCGCTTAGTGATGAGTACCAGAAGCTTGAAACGGGTGCGTACACTAACAAGCCCATTTCTATGAAAGACACCCACTAAGACCCATCATTGCACTATCATAGAGCTCCAAGAGATTGTACAGGCCCGCGAGAAATTGGAAGCGCAGCAGCAGGAGAATAAAAGTGTACAGAAGGTGCGGAAAAGAACTGGTAATTCCTTGGTTGGGACTATCACATTGACATATTCTCGAATTACCCCTCTACACAGGAATTCAAGTCCCTTGAAAGCGACGCGAACATATACAAATTGGTTGGCCCGATTCTTCTTAAGCAAGATAAGCATGATGCCGTGATGGCTGTAGACGGACGTCTGGGTTTTATCGAAAAGGAGATGTGTGTGCACGCCTTAACACCCCTTCCACTCTCGCAAGGATATTTGCCCTGTCTACAAGGGCATTACATTTCTTCGTTCACCAACATGTATCGCTAACTTGAGAGATGACTAGAACTCGAATCGAAAAGCAAATAAGTGATATTCAAGAGAAGAGCGAGAAAAAGAAGATTGAGGTATGCACCACCCTTGGTCAGCGTCTCATTTTATAGCACCTGTCTGATCCTTTCTCTCGCAGATTATTCAACTACAAACGCAATTACAACAGCAACAGCCTCCAGAAGGCACAGCTACTGCCTGATAGTGACAATCAATGCGGTCCTATATAAATATAATGACTTGATGACCAGGTCCAGTTCCTTTGCCCAGAGCCATATCTTCCCTCTGTAACACTGGATTATTACGAAACCGTTCCGAGCCTTGGGAGCATTTGCCCCACTATATGTATCCTGGGAATGTTCTAGGTTAAATTCCCTATAAGGGAACCGATTGCGACTGAGGAACTAGATTCATTGGCGACCAAGACAAATGCAATTGACAGATTTAGGAATACGGTCAAGCGCAGGCAGCTGCAAAGACAACAGAGCAGTGCCAATAGCAGAGGTTGACAAAGGGAAAAGAGGGTTAAAACGGCGTATTTGTTTAGCGCACTATTTTTCCTGACTATAGCATGCACCCGCATTTGCTTCAAATTGTTTATCTGCACCGAGAAAAGGACAGCAGCTGTTCAGAGCTATCATCGCTCAATGACACACACATATCCCGCAAGTTGCGGTCACATCAACGTGCTTTACCATGGACTTCCCCAAGACTAGAAAATTTTAACGAAAAAGATATTCGACTATAAATTAAGATATTGCCAAAATATGCACTGGTCATAGCTCTACCACGCGTCTATATCCCCTAAGTACTAATATTTTTAGTCCATTTCATGGATGGAAGGGTTGAAGGAGAGAAAGAAATGAAACAAACCGCACATTCGAAGAAAGGAATACAGACCGTCTATCTCTATCCTGATACTACACTCAACACAAAAAGAGAATCATTCTAAGCCTTGACGAGAAGACTTTGTCCCGTCATTTCCTTGGGCTGTTCAATGCCCATGGCCGCGAGGATGGTTGGCGCAACATCACCCAAAACGCCACCGGACTTCTTCAAGCTCCATCCTCTGGGGCATTAGCCATGATGAAGGGAACTTTGTTGGTCGTATGTGACGTTTTGGGTGTTCCCTCAGCGTTCTTCATCTCTTCGGCGTTCCTGTACCAGCGTTGTTAGTATTTCAGACTTCAGATATATGTTATGTTACATTTACTTGAACTAAACGTACCCATGGTCAGCAGTAACGAAAAGAATATATCCATTCTGCTTGCAGGCTTCGAAAACCCGTCCAATAGCCTTATCCGTGGCCGTCACGGCCTCAATGGTAGCTTCATACACTCCGGTATGACCCACCATGTCTGGTGGGGCGAAATTGTTCATCAGGAACTCGAATTTCTTCTCCCCAATACGTTCAGCGAGTTTATCCGCAACGGGAGCAGCACTCATTTTCGGGTCGAGGTCATAGGTCGCTACTCTGGGAGACGGGATTAATTCCCGCTCCTCGCCAGGGAAGTGCTTCTCGACGCCGCCGTTGAAGAAGAAGGTGACATGGGCGTATTTCTCTGTCTCGGCGACGTGGCATTGTTTGAGACCTTGTTTGCCCAGCCATTCTGCGAGAACATTGCCCATGTGCTGTGGGGGGAAGGCGATGGGGAATTTGTAGTCTGTCTTGTATTGGGTCATCGTTGTGATAGAGATGTCTTTGGGGTAAGGGAAGTTTGGTTTGGGCGATCGGTCCACGTCCCCTAGGAGCTGCGTTATTTCCCGCACACGGTCAGAGCGGTAGTTGAAGAAGAAGAGCGTGTCGTTGTCTGTATATTCGGGTAAGCAAGTACGAAATACACGGCGGGGGAAAGGCGAAATGTACCTTGGATTCTCCTCTCCTTTCCTCCAATAATAATTGGCTTCAAGAACTCATCATTCTCCCCTTTCTCATATCTCTCTTGGATGGTCTTGACCGGATCCGTCGATTCCTCCCCTCCTTCGCCAGTAACGAGCCCGTGCATAGCGACTTCGACACGGTCCCACCGCTTATCGCGATCCATAGCATAATATCTCCCAACCACAGTCGCCAACTCACCCACACCCAATTCCTTGGTCTTATCAAGCAACTGCTGCATATACCCAGTCGCACTCTTTGGATCCGTATCTCTCCCATCACCAAAGAAATGGATAAAGACCTTGGGAACCTGCATGTCCTTAGCCACCTGTAGTAGTCCGAACAGATGGTTGATGTGCGAATGGACACCGCCGTCAGAGATGAGGCCGAGCAGATGCAATCGCCCATTGCCATCTTTCGCCTTCTGGAACGACTTGACGATGTTCTCGGTTTTGTTCATCTCTCCTTTCCTCAGGGTTAGGTCGATGCGTACGACATCCTGCCAGACAACGCGGCCGGCGCCAATGTTCAGATGGCCCACCTCACTGTTTCCCATGAGGCCTTCGGGGAGGCCTACGGCAAGGGAGGAGGCGTCGAGCTCGGTATAGCCCTGTGCAGTTTTGGAATTGGAGTCGGCGAAGGAGGACATGACGGGAGCGTCAGCAGCGGCGATTGCGTCCCCATCAGGAGGGGAGTCGGGGCCAGCAATACCCCAGCCGTCAATAACGACTGTTAAGGGTCAGCGTTGGCGTTAATCATAAACTGTTTCTCTGAGAGAATGATGGTATATAGGGGGTTGTGTGAAGCAATTGAGGAATATTAACATACTCAACACAGTTTTTTGGTCGACCTTGGCCATGGTGACGAGGAATGTCGAGGGTACAGAGATAATTAGTAAATTATTGTCGCCAATTGATTAACATAAGGGCAGCAATTGGTTATGTTTAGCGATTTAACTGGTAATAGTGTATTATCTATGTGCAAAGATGTATGTGTATGGAGGAGAAATAAATGTTGGCGGGGGAGGAGGGGCATTTTGGTAGTCTTAAATATATTCTGCGTAGTCAGCTTGGGTTGTTCTACGTCACCGAAACGGGTTTGCTCCGGAATTAGAATCAAAAAACAAGGAGATATCGATTACAACATTAACTCACTTACTTGCCTTGCGCGCCACCACCACACTTGCTGATGACAACGGCGGCAGCTAGGGCGGCTCAAGGGCTTCTGCATCACAACCATAACAATTAACTAACCTACAACCCGGAACTAGGCGGGAGCACCCAGAGATTATTATAATGGCATCTTCGCGAACACCCACCTCCGCCTCCCTCCCAGGCCAGAAAGCCTCCTCCCTCCAACCGGCCACAGGCACATCCTCACCCGCGACACCCAGCTTCTCCCAGCAATTCCAATCCCAGACCCAGCCCCAACTCCAGCCGGAGCCGCAAGACACCGCACAACCCGCCCCCTTCCCTCCTCCACAAACCTTCGATATCCTCCCCGCGCTCCACGACCTCCTCCTTCGCCTTTCCTCAAGCTCTTCAGACCCGCACCAACACCCCGCAGACCCAACCTCTACAGGCGGCAATGACGGACCATCATCAGCTATCGGCGGACCCGGGCCGGGCCACGGAGCGTCGTCTGCCAATGCAACCGCTGCGCGTCCCAATACCATAGACGCAGCTGCAGTTGCTTTTTTGGACCCAAAGTTGCTGCTGTCGGAAGCTAGCGCGGTGAAAATTCGCATTCAAAAGGCCAAGGCGGCGTTGGCGGCATTGCCGGATATGCAGCGGGATGTGGCGGAGCAGGAGGGTGAGATTAAGGCACTAGAAGAGAAGATTGAGAGGCTGAAGGGGATTATTGTAGAGTTTGGGAGGAGAAGTAGGGTGGTTACGGGACTGACAGGGACGGGATAACATGATGTTTTCTGGAGTGGTTTTATTCTGGTGCCAAAGATTTTGTCGATGTTTTCATTTATTTGAGGAAATGCGATGGAGTAAGGCGCTATTATTTTCTCTTATTTATATACTAGGGGAACTATGGAGTGGTTGGTTTGGCGTTACCTGGTTGTATGTCAAGATTCACGGTTTTAAGGTTAAGGTAATAATAATTCAGGGATAGACTGATTACATATTTCATTGCTTTTTAGCATGAATTAACCGACTACCCTAAAATGTCTGCGGGTGACAAGTCATTTCGGAACTTAGATGGGATTAAGAAGGAGATGTGAGCATGCATGTGCGTATATCAGCTCGTGGGTGGTTGAATTCGTACCCACGTTAGATAATTTGTAAGCATTCTGACGATGAGATTCAGATATGCCCAATGAAAGAAGATGAGAGAGAATGAGAAAAAAGAAATGCAAGAATAAAATATACATATAGAATCGCCCAGCTGCGCCATGGATCGCTTGTTGAAAATCCATTGAACTCATGCCCATCATGCAAGTAATCTTCGTTGTCCTCATGTTAGGTTGAAAATAAATACTACTTTTGTTTTATCCCCTACCTCTTGTTCCATCACGCTTTTTCCTTTTCGGATCCTAACCCGTCGATTATAAATGGACTCGAGCCTGGCTGGAACTAGAATTTTTCCAAAAAATGAATCGCGAAATCCCTTTTTAGACTGGCAGAGGGAAAGTGCTGGCCCATGCGGCCATCTCTTTGCGCAGATCCAAAATCTCCGGAATGCTTTCACTGGCCACCTTAGCCTTGAAGTCCTTAAGCTTGTTAGCCTCCTTGGGCAAGCCGGTTTGGACGCTCTTGCAGATATCGATAGCCTTGTCGATATAGTTGGCGATGCGCTTGAAGTCCTCCTCGCCCATGCCACGGCTGGTCATGGCTGGGGCACCAATTCGAATGCCGCAGGGTGATAATGCGGATTTATCACCAGGGATGGAGTTCTTGTTGCAGGCAATGTTGATCTGTTCCAGGACGGCCTCGACCCGGGCACCGTCAAGGGCCTTTGGCCTCAGATCCAGAAGGACCATGTGACTATCTGTTCCGTCAGAGACGAGTTTGTAGCCCAGTCTCTTGAATTCTTCCTCGAGGGCTTTAGCATTCTTCAGCACTTGTTGTTGATATTGCTTGAACTCTGGGGTATCGACTTGCTTCAACGCAACAGCCATTGCGGTGATTGTGTGGTTATGGGGCCCACCCTGGTGGCCAGGGAAGACGGAGAAGTTAATGGGACCTTCGAGGTCGTACATGGTTTCCTTTCCAGTCTTGGGGTCGACACTTCTAACACCCTTGCGGAAGAAGATCATGGCTCCTCTGGGGCCACGGAGGGACTTGTGGGTTGTAGTGGTGACCACGTCAGCATACTCGAACGGAGATGGGATGACACCAGCAGCAATGAGGCCGGCAATATGAGCCATGTCGACAATCAGGTAAGCGCCGACGGAGTCAGCGATCTCACGCATCCTCTTGTAATCAATTAAACGGCAGTATGCGGAAGTGCCTGCAACTAGACATTTTGGTCGGTAAAGCTTGGCGTTTTTGGCGAGGGTGTCATAATCGATGATGCCAGTCTCGAGGTCGACTTGATATGGGAAAGTTTCAAAATATGTCGAAATAGCGGAAATCCTATTCACGGTGTGGATTGTTAATGCCACTTATTTTGGAGGAAATTATTGACATCTTATGTTATACATACTTTTTCTGTGGGGTCTGATATCCATGGCTCAGATGTCCTCCGTGAGGAAGATCCAAACCCATCAGTCTGTCGTGTGGTCTCATCAAGGCCTGATAAACTTCCAGGTTGGCAGGGCTTCCACTCAAGGCCTGTACGTTGACACCCCACTTGGCTGGGTCCAGGCTGAACGCCTTGAGAGCCCTCGACTGGCAGGTAAGCTCAATGGAGTCGATGTGTTGGTTTCCGCCATAATATCTGGCGCCGGGGTAACCCTCGGAATATTTATTTGACATGGGCGATCCCAGAGCATCGAACACAGAACGGGAGGTAAAGTTTTCAGAAGCGATCAGAACGACTGACTCTCGTTGGCGTTGAATCTCCTTTTTCTGTTTGGAGGGGGAATTGGTCAGTAAATGAGGGGCAAAAAGCTAGTCTTGGGAAATGGCAATTGATCATGGCAATAAGCAAAAACAAAACAGAAATCGTTACATACCATAATCTCAGCAATCTCTGGATCGGACTCTGCCAGAGATTTCTCGAGTTGCTGTCCATATGGTGTTAGCCATTTGGTATTCCATCCGAACTTCCAGTGGGATACTTACGTCTCGGTGAGACGGCGATAGAGCGTATGTTGCCATGATGTGGGTATGACACTGGTCCAGAATTACCAATTCCTAGAGATATATGTATTCTCGGAGTCTCTGAAGTGAAACTACGGTGTTTTGACGGATATGTGGGAATTTAGTGTTTGGGGAGGAGGAATCGAGTCACGGTGATGTTGGTTTTGCCGACTTTTTTTTTGCCATTAGTTTTGGCAGCTCTGATCTCGTGATTAGGGTTTGTCATGTGATTCGCTCGGCCCGATAGATTGGCCGGCGCCCCTGCTTAGATTCCCAACCATTAAGGCGCAGTTGTGCTCTGTACGGATTATGGTATTTAATATTGACAATAATAATGGTAACAGTGTGGAATAGAAATAGGGTAGTAGGAGAGCCTACTAGTATGTACCGTTGTCAATGTTAAATCAGGTAAATTTCGTGAAATTTGGAAGGGTAAACACAGGTAGGCGATAGCTGGGAACGCAGGATGCGGTAATGAACGATTCATGAAAATAACTAATTCAACTTGCTGGGATTTGTAAAGGAAAAGGTATAAATTTATCATGACGATAGCCCCAGTTTTTTCCGCCTCGTTTCTTCCTTCCGTGTCTTTCGCTCCTGAGTAGTCTCATCCCTGTGCTTTTTGCTACTCTTCTCCACATGTTGCTCTTCTGACCTGCCCTGGGTAATTCCTGAATTTTTAGATGTCTTAGACTTTAAGGACGGATTCACGTCTCTATTTCTCGAGTGTATTTCTGTGTTACCATCGGCAGAATTCGAATGTATCCGTTTATGTTTTTTGCGTCGTTCCCCCCGTTCATTATCCGATCCTATCTCCATCGATGACTTCCTCCTCTTTTTACCTTCATGGTCCTGAGAAAGTGTTTGAGGCATTCGGAACGAGTGCCCCTCTGACTCGTCCGAACTAGATCCAAATGTTTCCGGCTGGTCCTCCGTCGAGCCAATTGGTTTATATCGCATTTTAAGATGTCTGGGCTGTTCGTGCTTGGGCTTCGTTAGTTCACTGATTCGAACAGATTGTTCAGAGTGTGCAGCGCCGTTTGCCAAGTCAACGATCTGCTCCAAATGAAAGGTTTGCATGACATTAGCGTGGCTTCGGTGATAGGCGTTGCCCTTTTCGTCGGGGAGCAGAAGCGACTTGTACTTTTCTGCCCCAATCTGGTCCTCCCGGAGCTTGTAATTGACTCCTTGATGTGTCAATATCGACCCTCCAGTAGCCACAGCATCAAGTGCAAGTTCTTGTATAGAGTTCATCGGCACGGAGGCCGGGGCTGTGATGTGCCATATCTGCTTCCCTCGTAGATCTGAGAACACTTTTGAAACATCGGACGACCGCGGCGTACTTGTTGACATCAGCTTAAATCCTTCCGGTGCTTTGAACTCCTGCGCAGGTACGGGTTTCGGTACGTCGGAATCCCTAGGAAGTACAATAAGCATTTAGAATGACAGCAGTCTGTTGGATATGGCGAAGATGCCTTACATCCTAGGAGTGCTAGGTTCTCCTTCTGATGAACTGGCACTTTCATTTTCAGTCTCTGGGTCTGAGCTTGAAGAGCTTGGTTCTGGGACAGGTTTTCGCTTCGCTTCTTTCGCGTTGTGCTTTTTTGACCTAGCCTTCTCGGTGGATTTTCGGACGGAGGACTTGGTCTTTTGTGGTGCTGGTTCAGGAGAGGACGGGGACTCCAGGTCACTACTATCACTGTCTGTAATGATCTCTTTGCTCAACGGAGGAGCCATATTTTTGTTCGAGTCGTTGAAGTGATACTATGCGCGCAAGAGTCAATACGAGCAATCGAGAGGGAGGGGGAAGTTGCTGGCCGGTTTAATATGCAATCATCGATAAAGTAAGATAGTTATATAAATCTAAATATAATAGTTTTGATCCAGAAGCTAATTCCAGATCCAGATGTTGGCATTGGTATTGGTTTGCGCTCCAAGCCTTATTCGTCGCTTGAGATGTTTTCGTCGCTCGACTTTTTTTCAGAGCTTCTGGTGCAAGCCGCAGTGCACGGACCACCGCTAAAGTTCTCCGCCGCACTTGCAACAAGCCGGAGCTTCGCAGCAAAAACCCCCAAGCTCGGCCACTGACACTGGCTAAGCTGGACTTCGCTTTTAAAATGAAAAGGAAAGGAGATATGCAATCCCAATCAGGTACGCAGCGTTCGTTCCTTTCTCATACCTCTACTGTGAAGAGCAACCGCATTAACAGCCTTCGTATCTTAGCCCCCGTCAGCGCAATTGCAGCCCGGAGGTCGCGATTGGCCGCAGCTTCGCAAGCTTCAACGACGGATGTTGAATTGATTTTGAACGAAGAACCTCCATTGAAAAAACCTAAAACTAGTTCCTCGAAGCGGTCCTCTAGAGATAACTCTGAGAAACGACAATCCCCGCGGCAGGAAGGGGACACAGAGGCTAAAGTCGATCTTTCGAGGGTGGTGATATCGAAGGGGAAAAACTCGAACGAGCCCCTAGCTCAGGATTCGATCGAGGAATACCAGAGCGACGTCGGTGACGACAATGATGGCGTTGAGACAGATGTTACTAGTGATGATGAAGAGAGGTATGAGTTGCTCCGATGGGCTGGCAAGACGAAGCGCAACTCTAACAAAGTCTTAGTGATGGGCCCTTAGCAAATGCTCCAGCAGACTTCCAGAATTTCTTGTTATCGAAAAGTCGCATAGGTAGAAGAAACGTAGTCTACCGTACCGTTAATGCGATATGTATTCGTTTGAAACTAAAAATGGTACGTCACCGTGTCCTGTGTATCGTGGCATTCGCTAATGAGAGGAAGAATGTGGCACTCATCGGTCAATATGACCTATGGGTTAAACGAGGTGTTGTCAGCATAATGGGAGCGAAATTGCACCCGAGCCCTCGTCTCTATAGAGTCTATGCGCCGTCCACACATTCACTCCCGGTTATCAAATGCGTTTCAGGAGTTGAGGATTATGCGGAGGTTGAGATCAGGTCCTACAATAATGGACTTTTCCGCTTAAGGAACCTTTCAAACTTATATCATCGGATATGGAATAGCAACGAGCCAGCTCCAGGTTCTATTTTACAAGCCGGTGGACTATCATCATTCTCAATCGTAAGCCCGCTTGAAAAGACTTCGTTGAAAACTATTACTCAGGTTCTAACCAGTTGCCAGCTACACTCATCGTCGGACGACCCCTTGAAACGCCATCTACGCCCGCTACATCTTGAGAAGAAATGGAGCATGTCTATTCAGATGCTGTCTCAACGAGGAGGTGCCCTTCGAGTACTAACTTGTGGTCCGAAAGGATCTGGAAAATCGACCTTCAATAAGTATCTTCTTAATCACCTACTCAGCCCACCTCCACTAGAAGGCAATTTGCAACACGACCAGCATGGAGTTGCATTTCTAGATTTAGACCCTGGACAACCTGAGTTGTCTCCGATGGGCCAAATATACCTTGCCCACCTACGAACGCCACTCCTAGGGCCGCCGTTTTCCCATCCAACTATTGATTCTCAATCAAATGGATGTATTGTTAGATCCCATTATATTGGAGCTTCTTCGCCAAAGGACGACCCTAATCACTACATTACGGCCACTATGGATTTGATGAGTCGCTATCACGAGCTTCTCCAGAGTTACCCGCAATTACCCCTTATCATAAACTACCCTGGTTGGATCTTCGGACTGGGCCTCGAGATTGCGATCTCTTTGGTCTCATCTTTAGGCCTCACTGATGTAGTATATATGAGTGACAAAGGCCCAGCTGAAGTGGTGGAACCGTTGACTGCGGCTGCCTTGGAGGCTGGCATTTCCGTGACCATACTCCCATCTCAGCCCACAGATTTTGTGACCAGATCCAGCGCCCAGTTGAGGTCTATGCAGATGCTCTCTTACTTCCACTCGAACCAGTATCAAGGAAGCGATAGAACTTGGACAGACACTCCACTCTGTCGAACTCGCCCTGTGACAGTTAAGTACTCTGGAGCCTCACAGGGGATATTTGGAATAATGGTGACAGGGTCACGCCATGACCCGGATATGCTACGTGATTTGTTAGACGGAGCCGTAGTGGGTGTGGTTGCAATTGAAAACCTGAATGCAATTTCAAGTGTCAACGATGAAGACGCATGGAATTGTGATTCTCTCGACGATAGGAGTGATAAATCAATTGGTGCGTCCCGTTTCGATCCCGACGGCGACGTGCAAATGGACCCAGACGTCCCAGGAAACGAAAACCAATCACCATCGTCGCCTTTGTCGTCATCACACGCATCACACAACGATGACCAGCATCCCAGTATCACTCGCACGGCACGCGAGAACCTCCCTTGCCTATTCGTTGGCAGCGGTGCATGTACGCCCCTTGACCCCAACCTGTCACACTGCCTGGGCCAAGCAATTATCCGATCCGTCAACCCCGAAACCCAAACCCTAGACATCTACACGCCCATACCACTTTCCAAAATCCGCGAAACGCTCGAGCAAGGAAACCGCCTAATCCTCGTTCGAGGGCAGGTGGACAATCCCAACTGGGCAATCAGCGAAGAGTACTTTTCCGCACGCGCTGCGCAACGCCGGCATCGAAAGATGATTGCACAAGCCAAGGCGGCGGGAATCACGCCTGATGCGAGGGCGCGTAGGCAGCAAGATATCGTGTCGGAGCGGCTGCGGGAACGGGTAATGAGGGTAGGTAACGTGCCGTGGATGAGGCTGGATGAAGGTTCTGGGGATACACAGGAGCACGGCAGCAAGCAGATGTGGAGGCTGCGGAAGAAGGCTTATCCTGCAGATTCGGGAAGTGGCAGTGACAGGGAATGGTGATTTCCGCTGCCTTGCATTTTCGCATTTGCGGTATGTTGACTTCAAAAGATATAACAGGCACCCAGGCTATATGTATCGTCGAAGACGATAAACGCTCGTACTTGAATGCAGCTACATGTTTGTCTTTGGCGGTGCCAATGTTGATATAGTGGAAAATACATCTTTGAAGTGAACCACGAAGCATTTACAGCATAAATCTCGAGGACCAGTGGCGTGCATTGTGATTTGATACGCGTAGGCAGGGTCCAGAGCGCGGAGGGAGTCCTGTATTCGTCAATAGACATCCGCCAAACAAGCCCCTGGGGGATCTCCCCTTCGATCTCGCTACTTAAAATGGTCCCAGTCAACTCCACCCTCATTACGACTGGATTAGAAATGGGCACTTTTACAATAGGAATTCGCAATCAACTATTCCATAGAGAGATCTCTTCCATGGCTTTGTGACAACAGTTGAACAAGCATGTCACCGTGAGAAAGGAAAGGCAAAGTTGAGTCATAGTGAAGCTATAGTTATCCAAGCTGTGCCAGTGTCGATTTGGACAAATGATTAATCCTTCCCGGGTCCAGGGCCAGTGACATTTCAAGCCACTGCGGAATCGAATCGGACTCCGTTTTGGAAGACAAACAAAACGCAACACCAGCCAACCAACGAATTACGCAGTAGCAAAGGGGGAAAACTTGGCATGCGTGTAGTTATTCGCGGATGTCACAATCCTCTACCATAGTTCTTTACCAGTATATCAGGGAAAGGACCGGCTGGTTGCCCTCTCCCGCCTTGGTCGCCCGCGGAAACTGGCAGTTATATAATGTGATTTCCCGGATACCGGTGGGAAAGGAAACTGAGACAAAGGGAGGAAAAGGGAAAATGGGAAAATGGGAATAGAGAAAGTACGGTTGTTTGATGACAGGTCATATTTTTTATTTTTTTTTTGTTTTTTTTCGTCACCAGCCCTCTCTGCTGCGATGCCAGTGGGGAATAAGGAGGCTCTGCGAGGATCCGAAAATACAGCCAGTATAGTATATTCCAAGGTTGATAACTGTTAGCCAAGAGTGGTAATAGATGGAACCAAGGCGGCAGTTTCACACATCATAGCAGTGGAAAATGCTTGTTGAGCAAGTAAACTAAGATGCCTTTTTTTTTTTTTTTTTTTTTTTTTTTTTTTTTTTTTTTTGCATCAACATATGTTTAACTCGAAGATAGAAATAGGTATGTTGGCAGCGCTGCCTGCAACAGGTTTTCGAGGAAATACTATGTATAACTTATATATAGAGAGATGTTGAGAACTATGGGGATAATAAATAATCTGTCAACTGTCAATAAGAGGTATATAAATATCCAACTTTGGGACTCAGGGTCCAGACCAGGCAGATATCGAACCTGTCATCAATCAGCAAAAGCTTTGTTGTCGCGAGTTTTATGAATCAGGGAAACAGACAGACAGACATTCAGAGAGAGAGAGTGTGTGTGTGTGTAAGGCGCGCTAATTGGCAACACCTGGATATATATCTATCTACCTGACACTCAAACCGCCTCTTGTAGTTCAATTCATATCCTCATCATTTTTCGCTTTGACTTTTTTTTCAGTTTCCTATAACTTATCTGTCAAGAAATGAGCAGGTCTTGGAGACAGAGTCGGTGAGGACTTGGCTCTTCTCAATTCGTTCGGATGAGACATCCGTAGGAGAAGAGGCTAACTAAGCCCTTTTCCACGCCTCTCTCTTATCCTTCGGACATCCTGTGTTGAGAAGATGTCCCCGGCGAGACATGATAACCCTATTTTCTGAACACCAGGTTAAAAAAAGACAAAAAAAAAAAAAAAGGGGGTTTGATGTATGGAAACTGAGATCTGTCTTCCAACACCTAGAAGTTACACTCTGGTAGCTTCAACATTCCACATTCCACATTCCACATTTCCATCAAAAAACACCACACCGCATACTGTTTTGTGTGATGTTTGTAAAAGTATGTAATGTACCTGCTTCGATACCATACTGGCGGACATGCATTGGTCTCCTATTTCTTTTACTTTGTACTCCCTCCGTGGCACTGTTACTTATCTGCAGTAATTTAACGCAGTGCTGCAACGGGCTTTCTGGATGGGTATCGCTCTCAGCCGCTTTGCTTTCACATGCTAAACAATTCAAAGAAAAGGTTGGGTTTTTGGGAAGATGTACTATATCTCAGACAATAAAAATGTCAAGATATAACGACGGAGTCTATCTTGTGTCACATATCTTAATAAGAGCAGACAGGGATTCCAGATCTCAAAACTTGCGAAACTGAATACGGGCTTAATCCATCCCATCCCATCCCATCAAATCATCACTCTGCATTCAGTAATGTCTGGCCGATGATAAACCCGCCGTTAACCATGACCAGGGTGTCAGGAGTCAAGAAAATATCCTGGGCAGCCTGCAACGAGGCTCGGCAGTTGGATGACATGGAAGTTGAGTTGCGATCACTTATTACTGCGTAAGTAAGGATATTATTTCCCTGTTCAGCAGCCTCTTGCTAAGGGCAGGGCTTTTTGCATTATTATTTGATAATCAGGTGTGGATCGCTGCCCAACAGCCTGTACATGTACAGTAGTACATAACGAGCGTTGGACATCGCGGGCGCTTCCTGTTGGCGTTTATTCATTTTCATCGCGATCAGGGGATGGAGGGTAGTGTAAGTGTGCAAATCCCCGCACTAAATGATTGTTAACTTCTTACACCGTAGTTACGGAGTAACTACTCTCGAGACAAAAATATACATACATACATAAAGACGGTCTCGTCATATATCCTCGCCCGAACAAAATTGGCGCTTTTGTCACAACATCATTCATCGCGCGCGGAGGAGATAAATAAAGATCAGCCCAGGCCAAGTGCGGTGCGGTGCTCCCTCGCTTCGGGGCTACTTAGTTGAAACCGTCGAGAAAAAAAAAAAAAAAAGGCACTAACTAGAATCACCTCCTTCGAAACAAAGCCCGAAGTCGATCCCTTCGACACGTGGGAAAATGCCGTTTTGGGGCCTGGAAATGGTCAGCTAGCTATTTTCTCCTCTCTATCCCCCCCCCGTTGGGCCGAGATTCGTCGTGGGGTGGGGGGGGGGCGGGGGACGACGAGTCGACGAAAGCCACCGCAATCGGCGCCGCTCCGTCCAATATAGGTTTACAAATCCCTGGCGACTAATCACCGCAGCTCCGGCGCCATTCGGGTAGCTATATAGTCACTGTACCAGGGTCTTGCGTTGTTATCGAAAAAGTCCTTCATTTGTCATGATTGTTACTGTTCCTGGGAATGATTCAATCAATGCCTTCTTGTTCTTCGGATTGTTGAGTTACAGGGAAGGGGAGCCAGTCACCCCTCGGCTCTTCTCAATAATAATATCCATGGCATGGCATGGACCATGGGAAAATCTCTCGTGGTTGATGGTGGTCGGGGGGGGTCCACACACTCCATTATTATTAGTTATTACTTAAAAAAGGTTAAAAAGGGAAAATAAATGAATAAAAAATACGAGCGAGCACCAGCGGGGCATCCGGAAAGTGTTAAAAAAATAAAAAAATAAAAAAATAAAAAAAAGAACATGAACAACGGTTCTGCATGTCATCTCATCTCCTCCTCTCTCAAGAGGAACTAACTACAACTCTGCAAAGCAACCGTGGCACAGAATAATATGATGTCAATTCTGACTAACGTTAAAACCAGATAAGCCGACGATTCGGCGGGTCTTGCAACGGTCAGAAGGGGAAGAACCAGACTGACGAAGAAGGCTGATGGAAGTAAGTAAATCTGTAGTTAGTTTACTGTACGGAGTACGGAGTACCTGTAATAAAAGTGGCATAACTATCTCTTATGTCCCCAGGTTGAAACCCGTACCGTACCTGGCTAAGAAGCCAACAAGGGGGAGTCATTTCCGCACACACTGAACCCCACCAGGAAAATGTACTCCGTACAGCAACACCGGACGGAATGGAGTCAGACAGTGAGATTGTTTTTTTTTTTTTCCAGTTGTAACTACACGACTCCCTTCCTCTTATCTCATGCAAATAATCATAAAGGCTTAGTGAAGCTCCTGGCTCATCCTTCTCATGCGCATGCGCATAAAAGGATAATCGGAGATTATATCTTGGGGCATCTTGCAATGGAAAAATCAAATCCTTCATGTAAAAATATAACTATAACAGTGCGCCATGCAATGTCCTCTCAACCAGCCAGGTGGTAACTAATGTACATGTACATTACATTACATTGCTATCTTTACTCTATACTCTATTTCCAGTTTCATGGATTTCACGGATTTCACGGATTTCACGGATTTCACGGACGTTGGAATATTAACTAATTCATAAGCTCAGAGTTAGAACTATCCCATTTCCCACACTGCCAATTTTGGCCGCCACCCCTCGGGAATGAACCAATGCCACGGCATTGACGGGAGTGCCGGCAATAATAATTATCATAATAGTAATCATCAATATATATATATAAGGTTTTTTCCCCTGCCTTTCTCTTCCCACAACAATCCGCAAAACGGGTCGGGTGGGTGGGTGGGTCGGAGGGAAGAAAGATAACAGGAAGTTCCTGAGCAACCAACTTTCAAAGGATAATAATTATTATTTTATAAGGACGAGCTCCAAGAGGTGAACATTCTCACCAAGCACCCCCCTATCATCCAGCTCACGTATGTATACTTATACTTGTATTATTATTATAATAATGTTGTGTGTTATCATTACTAACATCTAGGCCCCGTCTACGGATGGATGGACGCACGCTGCGTACTACTAACTAGTGATGTTATGTACTCCGTAACGTTATGTATGGTACAACGGCGGATGAGAGATCCACTCCTTCTGGAATCGTTCTGCGTTCCAAAATGCGATTAGACTTTCTGCTTGGATGGGGGGCCTGGCCAACAAAAGTTACCATTGGTATACCAGAGAGAGTACAAAGAATTAAAACCAGCATTGGCTATTATTATTATTCTGATCAATGAAGAAACTCTTCTATTTAACAGATGTAAGATGTATTTGAGTTGAGTTGATTGGCTGACTTGTGCAAGCTGAAGATTGTAAAAAGCTTACCTGAGAAAATAGCATCATAACTATATTCTCTTGTGCTTGCTATGTGAGAAAAAAAACCTTCTTTGAACTATTTCAATCTTGATTTCTTTTACAATAGTTAATATATGATCAGCTAGACAATTTCTATTTTTATCAAAGTAAAACAGTCAATGTCAGAAGTCAGTTTATAGTTTTCTGTATATGACAACTTGTCTCTTTTCTACATACATACATATATCCATTGAAGCTTGTGATACATATAATAACATTCAAGCATTACTACATGTATGTATGTATGTAATGTTACATGTACATGATGCTGTGCAGATATGCAGCTGCAAGAATGATCAGATATATTAATAGCTTCAGTCAAAAGCATAGATTTTCATAGTACAGTACAATACAGATGTACTCACAACAAATGGCAGAGTAAGGCTTTAAACCTGTTTCTTGGTGTGTACTATACTGCTTCTATAAATTTTCTATGTAATTATAACAGATCATGCATAGATACAGAGAAGGAAGAGGCAAAATTGAAAAGCAAAAGCAGTACTCTGTAATTATTATAGAGTTCTGCAGATCTCTGTTTCAAGAACAGGTTTTGAATATGACAAGATGATCTTCAGCTCTCTCTCTCTCTGAAAACAAATGTATTTTTTGCATTCAGACTCAGATTTTTGTCTACTGTGGACATGGACAAAGAAAGCAGAAAAGGCTGCTATTCCGCCTATTCATACATGTAGTATCTCTTAGAAACTGTTCAATCACAGCAGTTATTTGTTTTAATATATTGGCATCATTTTAGGGATAGAGGTGTGATGGCTGAGAAAAAAGAAAGAAAAAGAAAAAAAAAAAAAAAGCAGCAAAGTAAGTGAGAGAGATTGCTATTCTCAGCTCAATGGTCTTGTTGCTTGCTTTTTTTCTTCTTCTTTCCCGCTTGGTATGTATCACCCTCCGATTATCACCACCACCGCCTGTGGAGTGGATGTTACAAGGCTGGGTAGAGGAACTTGCTCTGCTGACCTGCTTTGCATGTACTGTACGTACGTACTCTGTGCATCAGGCTCGGACGGGATTATTATGCTGTCATGATTTTCCGGCATCGTATCGTATCTTGAAACTTGATCCCATCCCTCCCCTCCCCCTTGTCACCAACCACCCTGTTAGGCTGCGACAGAGCTATGTCTGGCTAGTGCATGGATATGAATCATAGTGGTTATTAGAGGTGGGGGACCGAAGGAAGAATGAAGGACTTGACTGCTAAGAGTGGGATGGCTTGCCCTTGCTCTGCTCCGGAGTTAGTTAGTTACAGGTTTGGGATCCCCCAAGGCTTCCACTAGGTTACTGTCATTGATGATGGCAGCTCGGATCTAAGCTAAGTAAGTACGGTACGTACTTGACTAACTTCCTCCGTAGCTATCCTTTTTTTTTACTAGAACAGAAGCAAGCAAGCCACCGCAGCCACCGCAGCCACTGCCAATCTTGCTCAGAGAAAGGGAAGATGGAACCCAAGACCAGATCAGACCAGGCCAGGCCTGGTTCAAGCGGGTAGATAGATTGGAGGTTATCAAAGGGATGCATGCGGATGGGATGGGATGGGCTGTTTGCGAAGAGTAGATACTTCTGTCTGTTACTCTGTACTCTGTAACTACGGAGTACTCTGTCCTGTAGAGTGTGAATGGCCAATAATAGAGGAATAAGGATAGCTACAGGCAGACAGACATAAGCTGGTTTGAAAGAAACGAAAGCCTGATGAAGCCCAACAACAACAACGCAACGTCCCCCCCCCCCCAATCCCTGCTTGTCTGCCGTTTCCATTGCTCTGTGGCAGATGGAAGATGGAATTCTGCTGGTTATTGCATATTGAGTATTAAATTACGGAGTACTGTATTATTATTTCACTACAGTGTTTGATGTGTTTTTGTTTGGGGATTAACCAGTGCATTGCGCGGCTCAAAATAAGGGGACAAACAGCTGGATTTCAATACACAAAGAGAAGAATAATAAGTAAAGGAGAGAGAGAGAGAGTTAGTTATTTATTATATTATGTTGTATATTATTTTTTCATTAACAGAGTTAACCTTTTTTTATTTAAACTTTGTCACATCGCCCCAAGACGAAGTCTTATTTCTGTCTTTGTTCTTGTCTCGCCCACTTTTCGCTCCACTCCGGCGTCTGCTCCTGAGTCGAGCCTGAGTCTGAGTCTGAGTCTGAGTCTGGATGGAGTCTGAGTCTGGAGTCTGATGAGAGTCTGTCTGTCTGTCTGTCTGGAGTCCTTTTCTCGCAGCTCTCTTTTTTTTTCCCCGTCACAATCCACCACATCCACATCCACATCCACCACATCCACTGCGACGTCCACTACGACGTCCACTACGACATCCACCACTCCATCCACCACTCCATCCATCCCTGCGACCAATCCGCCCACACTGTTTCTCAGCATCCCCGGCGGCGACTCCACCGCCCTCTTGTGCAGCCGGTTCGCGGGTGCTGGATTACAATTATTATATCATCGGTTTGTCTCCCGCGCTCCAGTCCAGTCCAGCTCCAGCCCTGCTGCAACGGCTTACTTCCTCCAATTTTGAGCTCTATCTCACCCACCCTCAACCTCAACCCTCCTGAAGAGACGACTACTGCTCGTCCTCAATCCATTTGTTTTTATCTTATTTTTAATCATTTCATCCCCTCATCTGCCTCCATATCCCATCTGTCTATCTATTATCTATTCTTTGAAACTATGTCTCAATGCGCAGTATGGCGTCGTGATTCTCCCACCACATCTTAGTCCTTACTTCGGCCCCTTTCGCCATGGATTTCATTGTAAGTCCTTTTCCATTCTTACTGTCTTCTCCTGCGGTCTGTTGGCTTCTGTTGCCATTACCCTCCCTTCTTCTTCCTCTCCCCTCCATGCCCCGATCGCTCTGCTTTACTTGGCTGGGAGACGATGGTGGTCGTGGTCGCGAAGAAGGCCCACATGTTTCGATGCCCAGACAAACGCCATAGCTATATAGCTATCTATCTATCTTCCTTGACGACGGAACGTGGCGACCACACGGCCATCCGTGATGCGATACGTGACTAGGCTGTTACTGCGTCACCGCCACTCATCCGTCACGTTCTTTCTATGCTCTGTGTCCCTTTGCGACGCTGTGTCATATCTGGACACATTCCATCGGCTTCTTTTCTTTCCGAGCAAAAGCCAAGTCACCGAAGCACCACAGCGATACACAGCATCGCGTACATGCAACTCACTCGTCTCTTGTTCTTGTGGCACATACGCTGCTTATCTCTCGCATATTACCCGCGACAACTTCGTTTTTTTTTTTTTTTTTTTTTTTCTGACTTTGACTTGAAGTTATTTCTCCCTGACGTACTGACCGGCTGTTCGTGTTTACGATTTATAGCTATCCTTGACGCACTTCTGCGAAGTGCATGGCCCGACATCCGTCCTCTGTTCCCAAGTGATACCCTCCTCCTGCGCGCAATGTTACCCAGACACCTATGACATCTCACCCAGCGATACTCCCTTGTCCTCTCACGCCACTTCCCCTTCCCTGCATTCCCGTGACGCTGGTCGACCTGGAAAACCCGATCAGCAATCTATAACGCCACCGGATATCGCCGTCAGCAGCTCTCTAAACGGCTGCTCCTCATCTAGCCTCGATCCCCTACCTTCCCCTCTCGCTTCAGCCCCAACGCCCAGCCAGCGAATAGAAGACCATCCCTGGTTCTTGAACCGGCTATCAGGCCGCGCTGATACGGACAGGCTTAGTCGCATTGCTCGTGCTGATAGTGAAACCTGCGCAAGCTGCAGCCTAACAGTCCCAAAGGGAGTAAGTAAACAGCTTCCACCCGGCGGGCCGGGAACTTTGAAGGAAGATGGCAAAAGTAGGAATGGAAGTCCCGTGCTACGCTCCAGGGAAGTTGTATACTCCTGTAGCGGATCGCGAGCGGATTACAACACAGAACCCCACCAACGCCACTCGTCTCCAGCCTCACTTCACTCCTCCGTCTCGTCGGAAACATCCTCATGCCATACACATATCGTAAACTACCTCTCCTTACGCGGTCCGCCAAATCCCGACGACTATGCTCTTCTACGCAGCGCTTCAATCCGAACACTGAGCTGTGAGCTCCTCCCCCGTGGGCTCTCATCTGGACCCTTATCATTCGGCGACTCCTCCGCCGGCTACACTATCGCTTATGTCTTTCGCCTCCCAGACCCCATGGCTCGCGGCAAACGCCGCAGCTATGCGCTCATTGCCCTGGCAGGCAAGGACGCTGGAAGGGCCTTCCGCGCTTCCCCAGTCATCTGGCGCGTTTTCGGCCGTATTGCCGCGAGCATCGTAAATGCAGCCGAGCGACACCAGGACTCGGAAAAACGCAAGGAAGAGGGCGCGGTTTCTAAAGCTGGTGCTGGCGCTGCTACTACTGCCAGTATGGCCAACGGACGCAACTACACGCCCATATCCTCGTTCCTAACCGGCCGAACCCTAGATCCAGACGGCCAACCGCGCCGCGCCGGCCAGATTCGTGCTCGCAATCTTGCAGAGATCGTGGAGAACGAATACATCTTTACAGAACTACATGCGCAATTTGTCGCGTTGCTCCAGCAGCTGTGTGCCATGTTTGGCGGACCCCGTATCCCGGACGATCGCTCGGTGTGCAGCTCGTTTGAAGAGGACACGTTTTCCCCCCGTCGACAGTCATTGTCCGGGGATTGCGGGAAGGGGTCTACTCGCACCGGTGCGACCACTGCTAGATCAAACGGCCCTGTCGATACGAGTAATCCTGGGCGTGGTTATGATTCCTCCTCTGTCATTCTCCCCCCCTCCCCGAAACCAATACCCATATCCCATCGCGGACGACAGCTAGCAGCCTAGGGAAGGTTAAGCGTCCGCGCCTCCTTGTTCGAATTCGATCTTCCATCCACCACCAAACGAAATATTTCTTACCTCCTACACTATCCGACTCTTATCCCTTTTCAGTGCTCCCTTTCTCATATTTCTTTTCTGTTGCATACAAACCATATACCCCAACCCATCTATCTCTCTTTCGATTTAGCCATTTTTTTCTTCTTAAATATACCTCTTTCCTTTTTACCCTTTTTTTTTTTTCTTTTTTCTTCTTCTTTTTCTTTTTTTTTCCGGGTTTCTCTACCATCGAATACATTTTTAACGCGATCACGGCTTTACTTTGCATATGACAACAACCACAACACCTACTTGAACCTCGAAACACGCAATCGAATTCCTGAGTACCTACTCCCACCCAGGCAAGAAGCACAACCCGCCCAACTCCGCGCCCGCTCACCATTCCCGCCACCCTTCCAGCCATTTATATATATATAATATCTATATACATATTTAATCACCATACGATACCATCTGATTTCACTTCTCTGAATATAATTGGCAACCTCTTCTCCCGCCACAACTTCTATTTTAAATACCTCGTACCTATCTACCTCTCCCTATTATCAGGGTGGAATCTTTGTCCTCGATTCTCTGCGCGGGACGAAACGCAAACATCTTGCGTTCCAAAGCCCCCAAACCTCCTTTTTGCCTGTGGGGGCGATGGACGGGTGTGAAATATCATCCGGCTTCGATGATGATGATGATGATGACGATGAAACCACCCCCTTCCCTTCCCCTCCCCTCCCGCCGATAATATTTAAGAACCTCCCGCCCTTTTCTCACTCTTGTCCTAACGGCCGATGAGCGTTTTTATTATTTATTTTTCCATATCCCTTCTTCCATTTCTTGCGAATATACATCTTGTATATCTCCACCAGAGTGTGTTTGTGGCGGGGAGGCAAATGGTGGTTCATCATCATCATCTATCTTCTTTGGTCCGCTATGTATCCTTCTTACCCCACCTTGTTTTCGGGGATTATTTATATTCATTTTCTTTTCTTCATTTGTTTTTACACATTTATCTTATTATCTATTTTTAATTTTAGTTTTTTCTTTATATGTTTTTTAATCAACAGAAGAGGGAGGACGGGGGAGGATGTACGTTTACGCGAAATCGGACTTTCCCCCCCCTATCCCTATCCTACCACGACGATTCCCTGACATTCGACACATGAAGTTAATAAAGAGGCAAGCCAGGATGGGGGAATATTCTTTTGGTTTTTTTTTTTTTTTTTTTTTTTTTTTAATTTATAATCTCTCTCCTTTCTCTCTCTGTTTTTTTCCTTCGGAGTTATCATCACTTTTTCATCGTCAACATCATCACCAAAGGAAGAGATGGGTGGATGGATGGAATGGAATGGGATGGGATGGGCTGAGATAACGGAAACCGGCGAAATATGGAGGGTTTTTTTCACTTGATTTCATATATAGAATTTTTTAGGGAACTTTCTTTTTTTCTCTCCTTTTCCAACCACCCTTCAACTACCTTTTTCTCTCCCTTATCAAATAAATAATGCTTTTTAGTTTTGTGTTAGCAGCGTCGCATCGCGGGTCTTTATATAGATATAGGTAGATTAGGGTGGGGTCCAATGATTGTTTTAGCCATTGAAATTTCTCCTTCCTTGGTGTCTCTTTCAATGTGAAGTTACATACGGAGTACATAGGAATATATACTTACATGCATGCAAAGGTTATCCTGATCAGTTTTGTATGTATGGACTGGAGTTATCAGACAAATCCACTTTCTATACATTCATTCACATGTAATTAACTCATAATTAACTCACCCCATCATCCTCCCCCCCACGCCCGCCGCCCATCTCAGAGAAGGCCAATTAACTTATTACAATTACAATTACAATTACAATTACAATATTAATTGCTGGTGACTATCCATTAAGACTCGGAATCCGTCTCCGGCCCAAAAATACTCTTCAGATAAACAACCCTCCTTTCTCTCCCGCCGCTCTTCCCGCCTATAAACGTCATCGTGGCCCCTCCATTGCCCCCTCCATTGCCCCCTCCCTCCCCTCCCCTATTTACCTTTGCCTCCCTCCTGTAGCGTACGCCGCTACGTAGGGTCAGATATAAGGGTAAAAACTTGTCTTATTCTTCTAAAGATGGGAGATGAGCGTACGCCCTTATATATACAGTGATTGTTTTATAGAGATTAACTCTTGTAGAAGGAGCAATCGCCTATGAAGAGAAGGACAGAGGCTCTGTAGAGAAGGAGTGGACACTCTCATAGAAGAAGCAATTGCATATAAAGGAAAGAATGAAGGCTCTGTAGAGAAGGAGTGAAAGCTCTCATAGAAGGAGCAATTGCATATGAAGGAAGGACAGAGGGAGAAGGTAGTGGCAGAAGCTCCAGAAAACAGCAAGGGATGAAGCAGAAGCTAGAGCTGAATAGGGGATTGACTTGAATAGGGGGCGGAAGCACGCCACAGTCTCTCTATCTGAAAGGATGCATTCGCAGAGAAGAGAAAATGACATTGAAAAAAGATGATGGGTATCACGGGTGCTAGGCCCAAAGAGGTGAATATTATTCAGAAGTGCTAGTCTGTTTACATATGCTGCAGATATCATAGAAAAGGGAAGACTGAATGATAGAATTACTTATTCATACAAAGAGTGATCAGATGTAAGAATTATTTGTCTCTACAAAGAGCAAAAGATGTAAGAATGACTTGAAAAGAAATGATAAGAAAGAGATAGAAGTTCTTTAATCTAAAAACAGCTATAAGAAAAGAAAGAAATTATAAAGAAATCATAAGAAGCTTGAATGAGAAAGAATTCTTTGATGAGATAGATGAGAACAGAAGTTTCATTATAACAGAGAGAAGATTCTATGAGTGATAGAGATTAGTGTAGATGAATGATTGCATTAATATATATATTATAATCACTTTCTTCTTATTCTTCTTTTATTCTTCACACATCTCACTAGAATTTAACATAGCAGAATTAGTGAAAATCATGATATATAGAAGATTAGATCATAGAAATAATGAGTCTTAAGAAGAAGTTAACAGCTGTGAAGACAGATATAGTGAGTATGATGAAAAAGATCTTGATCTTAGAGAAATTATTTCAGTTATTAAGTCAGAAGAAGCATGATGCCCTTCTTTATATGAGTGATAGAGAAGAGAAGACAGATGAGAAGACTGATAAAAAGAAGATAGATAAGAATGAGATGAAAGAAAATAATAAAGATAAAGAGTTAGAATTTCAGATAGATAAGCTTTCAATACTATTAACTTATCTTTTCACATATAAAGTAGTCAAAGATTAAGATAAGAAAAAGACAGTGATATCTCATTATTACTCAGCTAGACTGCATGATGCTGCTGCAGAAGAGTCAACAGATAAATTACATAATAGAAGCTCAAAGAGCTAAGAAGAGTCTAAGATTATGATATAAAAGCTTATAACATCATTTACTTATTTGAAAAAGTCATAGCTGTTCACACACCAGTTTTCAGAAGAAGATATTGTAACATGGCGGAACTGAAGCAGTGACTAGTCAGCAGTGACATGTAGAAGTAGTTGTTTAAGAAGCTGTATGAGTGAGCTTGACTATCTTGCTTGAATAGTGAGCTTGCAGGCTACAGAGTTATTGCAAGAATATCACAGATATGATACTTAGTATACTAAGAAGATTGTATAAGACATACAGTAACTCTTGTGTATATTTCAGTAAAAGTAAAACAAATCACTGACTTCTTTGATAAGAAGCCAGCATCTAGCTATTCTATATAGACAATGAGCAGATACTCTTCTCTTATTTCATAAGTGAGAATAGTCAGAGTGATACCTCAGCAGCATTTCATTATCAAGAAAGAGTAATCTACTGACCTCATATAAAAGTAGAATTCTTATATTCATTAATCAGATCTTTCTATAATATATCTGAATAATATCATAGAGTAGTTGAAAACCAGTTCAGTCAGTCTGTGAAATGAATAAAATCATTCATATAAAAGTAATGAACTGTATGAAACTGCAACAGAGTCTTGATACAGTTGAGAGTGTGACAATGCTCTTCTCTTTAAGAGTATAGTCTTTATATTCTCAAGATTACTGAATTAGAAATTATCTTTGTTGTATAGCAACAGTTATCAACTGATTAACAGTGTATATACTGTGTATGATACAAAGATGAGTTTTTCTGCTGACTGCATAGGTCTTTCTTTTCTCATCTTCATTCAAATCAAACACATGATAAGTGAGTTTCTTATATATCAATTTGAAATGTGAAAAAACATAGTTAATAAGTGACTTACAGATCTCTCAATATATTCTGTTCTATATATGAAATTCTCTGCAAAAGTGATGTATTTTAGAGACAAAACTAACAGTAGTGATAGGATTTTTTCAAAAGATTCTTCTCTCTGTGATATATTTTTCTTCTTCTTCTTTCATCTGCAATAGTGAGTGCATGAGAGTATTATTCTTAAAGAACAGTAGAGAACTTATTCTGATATTTTCTAGTAAGTAAATATCTTTGTGATGTGATGGCAGCCTCTGTGATCATTAAGAAAGCCAGGTTGAAGATGAAGACAGTGTCAATGAGCTGCAGAAGCTTTACTTTCATTGTCATATCTTCTTCTGCTTCTCTTACAGCTGCAGTAATTCTGCTAGTCAGTGTGTCTGCATTCAGTTCATTCTCTGTTTCTCTTATCACTGTTGCAACACTGCTCTCTCTCTCAATCAGCACAGTGATGTATGATCTCATGTGATCATTCAGAGAGAAACTCAGAAAGAGCTTGATTCTGAGAATAGTGACTCTGAGAAGCTCAATCTGTAGTTTCTCTTCTACAGCATGCCTGAGCCCTGCTCAGAATACTGCTGAGTTGAGTCTGCAGAGTCCTGCAGTTTCTTTATCTTCTCTCTGTAAAGAGACTTCAGTGCAGTCTCTGACTGATATTACTACTTATCTACACTATGTTAAGTAGCTGAAGAAGAAGAGAATCTTGTACACTTATCTCTTCTCTTACTTTTATTATTTTCATTGCATCTGTAATAATAACTTCTGTCTTTCTGTAAATATTATCTACTCTATAAGAAGATATTGTATTGACTCTGATAAGAAGCTCAGATACTTAAGTAGTACAGAGCAAGAGTCTCAGAGCTTCAAGTATTGATAAATTCTATTAAGACTGAAGAGATTCTTCTTACTCATCTGTAAAAGAAGATAAAAGTGTGAATCTCTGAGATGAAAAAACATCTCAGAATGACTGACTCTAAGAAGAAGTCAGCTGATATCACTGTTAAAAGCACTGTGAAGATTAATCACTGATTGAAGAGAATCTCACTTCAGTTAAAGTAGATAACTGAGATACTTTATAAGTTAATAAGTTAATACTTTCAGTATCTTTTATACTCTTCTACAGTATATTTCTCTGCAGTGCTGCAGTGCTAACTTCTCAGCAGATAAAGATGCTAATGTCAGAGACTTCAACAGTGAAGAATGAGTTTAATAAGAGTGTAATTATTGATAAGTAGGCTCTGAGATTCTCTCTTTTTACTTTTTCAGCAGGCTGCAGTCTCACTAGAATAGCAGTAGCTCACAGATTAATTAATATTAATCTTTTTTATTAATTTTAAATATTTCTTTTCTCTAATCACTTCAGGAATTTTACACTTATATAGTCTCATTAAACTTCTAAAAATTCTTTGAGAGAAAATAGAAGAAGAGTGCTTCAGAGTCTATAAGATATCAGCTCATTACTGTAAGATTATTTCTAAAAAACTCTTTGAAAAAAATAAGAAGTCTTAAGCAGTGTTTCTTACTCAATATCTCTGATATGTAACAGAGTAGTCTCTACTAGTTATCTCATAGATTACAATCTCTTTCTCAGTATTTTTCAAATACTTAAGTGATTTTCATGAATTCTCTGATAATAAATAATCTTCTCATTTAATAAGATATTAAAGCTTGCTGTAATATATTTACTTATTTAATATTTTCTTTATAAGATATTCAGTATTACTCTTAATCTTAATACTATCTGACTGAGACAGCTCTGCTCTGAGACATTGCTTATAGAGCTTTAAATAGAAAATGTGAAAAACAGAATGAATTAATTTCAATTCTGTGAATAATTTCAACTTATATATCTACTTACTCATTACTCTTATTACTGAGAAAGGTTCTAGTCACTACTTACTGAGCTTCTTATATAATCTTATTATCTTGATATTCTTTACTGAAAGTAGCACTTGATTCTCTATTAAGAACTTCATTAAAAGATGTTTTTAATTATAGTATTTCATCTACTGCTTCTGAGTGTAATGAATACTTTTCACTGTCTTCTTATAAATTTTATTCAAAAGTTTCAATCTCACTTTTACTTCTAATACTGAGAAATACTTCATTCTCTGTATCTGTCTGATATTCTGACTGTCTATCTCTCTCTTTAAAATGTTATTCATGACATCACTAAGTAATGAAGAATTATATTCATAATAAGTATAGAAAGAAGATATCTTTAAGATTGCATTCTTTATATTGTTATATATGAATTCAGTGATCAGAAGATGTTTAAGTCAATCATTCTGATAATATAAATAGAATGCTTAAAGATGCTGTTCTAGTGTCTGATTCTGATATTCAGTCTGATTATCAGTCTGCAGATGAAATGCAGTACTGAGAAGATATCTTATTATAAAATAATAGTAAAAAGCTAATCAGTATTTACTGATGAAGAGAGATTCTTAATCTGTTATCAATGATTTCAGAGCATTATAATCATGAATAATAATATTTAAAAACAGATCAGTCAATTCAGAGGCTTTAATCTTTTTATAAATAGAGATATATCTGATTATCTTTATGAAGTAATTAACAATGACTAAAATTGAGTTATATTCTTTGACTCTTGTCAACTTCAGCAGGTCAACTATGAAATCTATCAATAGATTCTGTCATAGACTCTTTGAAACAAACAGTGATATCAACTCACTGTATTACTTATACTATGAAATCTTTATTTTTTGACAGATATTGTAAGTCTTAATATACTCTTTAACATCTGTTCAGAGCTTGTCTTAAGTGTATTTATATTTTAGAAGCTTCTCAGTCTTCTCTAATCTAAAGTGCTCTGTATGAGAATTATTATGATGAATTCTCAATAACTTCTAACACACTGCTCTACTATGAGAGACAAAGACTGAATCATTCAGTAGTAGAAGTTCACATTCTTCTAGTTATCAGTGACTTGATTTCTTAGCAGTACTATCTCACTCAGAGTCTATCTCTTCTAAGTTTAAACTGAACTCTTTCTTCTTTAACTTCTGAATTTAAGCTGCAGTAGAGGTGTTTCTCTTCTATAACTTATCAATGAATTTCAAAAGTAGTCAGATTGAAAGATTGTAGACTGTTTCATTCTTTGTCAATTCAATGATTATAAGATGTGACATGAGAAGCTCATGATCTTCAGTGTCAATTCTCTGTGAGAACTCAGATTCTCTTCTATCTTCTATACTGAGTTATGTAGCTGTCTCTTCAGTACTGTTTCTGAGCTTTAGAGAATCTTAACTCTCTACAGTCAGCTTCTTCTGCAGTGATGATAGAGATTCTTTTATAGAATTCTTCTTCACATTAATAATATTATAATCAGATTATCTAAACAGTGTGTCAGCAGAGTTAAGCTGATCTGAATGATATCAGATATAGAAATCATACTCTGAAAGCAGCTTCACTCATCTGACTTAATGTTCTGTTAAGCTCTTTATTATTAAGAAGTAACACAGATTTGCATGATCAGTGAGAACTTACACTGAGTATCTACTACTCTGAAGATAATGTTATCAGATCTTAAAGAATTTGACAATTACTAATATCTTTTAATCATGAGTATTATACCTTCTCTGTATAAGTGATAACTTCTTGAAGAAGAAGATCACTGATCTCTATTCACAGTATCTTATAAACTCTGTGAAAAAGTCTTCTCTTACAGATAATTCATTATCTGTTTTCTCAGAAGTGATTATCTTCTAATTCTTTCAATATTGAAAGATCTTCAGTGTCAACTGTGAAAAGATTTCACAGACTTCATTCTCAGATGTATCAGTCTCACACTGACTGAGTAAGTCAGAGTTAAAATGATTCAGTATTATAATATCTGTAAAAGCTTGTTTCAATTCTACAAATACCTGTGCAGTGTCTTGAGTGAGAGTAAATAGTTCTATTTTCCTGTCTTTCACACTTCTCTTCAACAGATCTGTAAGAGGGGCAGTAATCTGTGAATATACATAGATAAATTATCTGTAGAAATTCACAAATTCTAGAAATATCTGTATCTTGCAGTACATTCACAGTGCTGATCAGTTCTCAATGACAGAGACCTGGCTTCTGTTCATTGAAATGTTATTCATCTTAATAACATAATCTAAGAAATCAATCTCCTGCATGTAGAATGAGCATTTTTCAGTGTTTATATAGAGTTAATACTGTCTCAAGTGACTCAACACTTCTTGAACATGAGTATCATATTCTTTCTTCATTTTTGAGAAGATTAGAATGTTGTTTAAGTATACTATATAGAAGATGTTGACAAGGCTCTGCAACATCTCATTTATATAGGTCTGAAAGATGACTGAAGTGTTACAAAGATTAAAAGATAAAATAAGATATTCAAAATTACTGTACTTGGTATGAAAAGTCATTTTTCAAATGTTATCTTTATTAACTCTGATTCTATGATAGATATTCTGTATATCAATCTTTGAGAACATCTTTGCTTCAGATAATCAATTGATCATCTCATTAATTAACAGTAATGAATAGTGATTCTTAACTGTCATCTTATTGAGATCTCTGTAGTCTATGCATAGATATAGTCTATTATTCTTCTTAGATACAAAGAGTATAGACATCTCTGCTGAACTCTTTGATAAATATATTCAGTTCTTTGATTGCACTTCTTCAAGATATTTGTGCAGAACATTCAACTTCTTTATAGACAAGTTATAAAGAGATCTGTATAATACTGTTGCATTATCTTCAAGATGAATCTTATATCATATCTTGATATCAGAAAACTTCACTGCTTTTCTTTCTGAAAAGACATTCTTAAAATCTGTAAAGAGATGTTGTGTACATCTGTCTTCAATGATGAATACTACTGCTAATCTTGCAGTAAGAGTGATGACTTCTTCATCTGTCTTTAAGTTTCAATCACCTGCTATACAGTATATTGACTCAATCTTTTTCTCAAGATTCTTCTGATGAAACTCTTCAGATTTCTCTATTACTGTCTCTTCATCAGTAAGATGATACTGTCACATCTAAGTGACTCAGTCAATGAGAGAATTGTTTTCTCTCAATTATAAGAGATCTAGAATAACATTCTCATCTATGATATTGACTGTATGAAGAAGCAGACTGCTCTTCTTAAAGGTTTCTTCTGAGTCTGTGATCACACACTTTGCTTGAATTATGTTAAAATGATGACATTTTGTTTTATCAGTAAATTTTACATGGTCTAGCAGATCTATCTTCTTTCAATTCTTCATCAAAGAAAAGAAATAGAATATGAAGTTAATATTCACTCTGAAGTTAAGTAGACATCTCACTGATATCTTCTTATTCAGAGTATACATTGTGATTATAACATGAACTTAAAGATGTGAGAATTGTTAATTCTTTTCTTTCTCTTCTTTATCTTTCATAGATACATTTATCAGAAGAGGAGTTAACTTTAAGAAGATATCTTCTCAGTTTCTTCTCTTCTTTAACTTTTTATAATCACTGACATAGTGATTATCAGCTCTGCAGTTGAAACAGAGATCTTTATCAAATCTTTTTTAATATTTCTTCACAGTGAGTGAAGAATCAGAATACTTGAAATTCTTCTTTACTTTCTTCACACTGAAGTTATCATGACACTGTTTAGATCTTATCATTGATTACTTAGAAGAGATCTTATTAGCCTTTTTCTCAGAGAATTGATTATTCAAATAGATTCAGAAAGTCAGGTTAACAAGCTCAGTGTGATTGATTAATGAACTCTGATATTATGATATTATTATTCACATCTTATAAGTCAGCTTTACAAGATAAAGCTGTGTTTTTAATTAATTCAAATCATCAATCAGTTTCTTTCAATATTCTTCAAATCTTGCATTGAAATTGAAAGAATTCTCATTATCTCACTGATATAATAAGTTAAATCACTGTGTTACTATGAAGTCATAGTTACAGTGATCTTTGATTTGATTCAGTAGAAAGTTCTTGAATTCTTCTCAAGTTATGACAGTATTGATACACTCAAGCTCTCTCTTCTTAGTAACTCAAGTAGTCACAGAGATGCCTTCAAGAAGGTTGACAGTGTATATTACTTATATCTTATGAGTATTATACTGACTTGAATTAAGGTGAAATTTTCATTCAAGAGTACATGTGGCGGGCTGCGCCCGATCAATCATATAGACTATTCCGTTACACTCCACAGATTCTACGTACGCTCCGATCCTCGGCCATTCTCGATTGCCGATCCTCGGCCGCCACCCCGATCAATCATATAGACTATTCCGTTACACTCCACAGATTCCACGTACGCTCCGATCCTCGGCCATTCTCGATCGCCACTCCGAACCTCGGGCATTCTCGATTGCCGACCCTCGGCCATTCTCGATCACCGATCCTCGGCTGCTACGAACACGCATATATTCTTCCGCCCCGAAGCTCCACCGCGTACGCCACCACATACACATATAAATATCCACCTCGATTGCCGATTCTTACACTTTCTCTTTCTTTTCTTCTCTAGTGTTTTTATCTTTGTTATATAAGACCTATTAATATTATACCGATCTATTCGGCGTAGGCCCCTTACACTATAAAAACGCTCATTGTCTCCTTATTAGGAAACAATTATCCAGCATCATCTCCTCATTAGGAACAATTATCCATTGAGAGATATCCGAACGCGTAACGACATGTAAGAAACAGTCACACAGTTAAGCGGACACTGAGTTCACAGATAGAAGCTTGCTCACCAGTCGCCCTGGCCCCACAACAAGATCTTACAAAGAGAGTAAGATCTTACAAGAGACCATCAGCGAAAGAAAGAGAAACACAGCTAAGCAGACACCGAGTCCCCAGATAGAAGCTTGCTCGCCAGTCGCCCTGGCCCTGCAACAAGATCTTACGAAGAGAGTAAGATCTTACAAAAGAGAATGTCAGCGAAAGACCCGAGAGTCCTGACACCCAGACGTATGAGAATACGATTACACACAGATATCATACATCCGACGATCGATATAACCATGTCTAACAATAATATGGAACCCTCGAACTCGAACATGAGCATAGACGCAGTGCCACAGTGGCTCCGAGCAATGTTGGAATTACAACAGCAACAGATAGCAGACATGCATGCAACTCAACAACATCAATATGAAGAGATCCAACAATTATCACAAGGAACCCATGCAATTCCAACATCTACAGAATCGAATACAAAAGCGCTGAAAGAACGCTTAGGTGCTCCCGCATATTTCGATGCTTCCGACCTCACTCTCTACTCATCATGAAGGATGGAAATGCTAGTGAAACTGAGTGTAGATGGAGATTCCTGTAAGAATAAGTGCTCGCGGGCGATTATTCGGGTGTTTGCAGCTTGGCATGATATGTACTGTTAACTACTAGAAGTGTTCACAGTAGAAAGATAAATGTAGGAGTCAAATGTATAATAGCATTCAAGCTGAGTTATGAATAGTATTCGTGAACTCCAGTCTATATAGTTGTGTGTAGCCAAGGGCCGCTAGCCCTATTGATTACACAAGAGATAGGAATAGAGGTAAAGGATCTGTGAGAAGCAGGATTTCTTACATATCCCCCCCTCTCTAAGGCTTCATCTGTGAAGCCTTTCACTGAGTGACTTCATAGTCAGCTCAGCACTGCAGTGATACTCACTAAAAATCCTTCACATCTATAAAAAATCTCAGTGAGGAAAAATCCCTTGTTACTGTGAAGAGAAAAGAGTCTGTCACTCAGTTTCTTGTTTCACAAGGTTCTTTATGACCTACAGATTCTTCTCTGACTATCACACAGATTCATCTTGTATCTTCTATACAGAAGAGTTTCAGTTGACTCTCAATCATTTTCACAAGATTCTTGTATGATCATCACACAGATTCATCTCACAGATGAATCACTCTCTGTGAGATCATCCTCATCAAAGAGAAACATTCACAAGTTGATCTTTCATTCATTCTCACAAATCATTACTCTTTGACACTGTAGAATTGTGAGGAATTTTCCATTCTTTCATCAACTCTGTAGAATTGTAGAATCAAGATGTCTGCAGTCTGTAATCACTCTTTGTAGTTATATAGAAAGATTCAGGCCTGCAATTCACAATCACTCTTGTTTACTAGAGTAATCTAGCTGTTTCATGAGATCACTCACAGTGTAAGTAAATCTCTCTAGAGTAGTATAAATATCTCAGATCTGTCTGCAGAATCTCATCTTCTTTTTCCTTTTTTTATAACAGCTTTCATTCTCACAAACTGTGAGTATTCTCATTCATTCACAAAGTGTTTTCACTCAGATAACAGAGAGAGAGTATTCCTGACAATGTCTGTGTATTGATTCAAGAACTTCTCAAGAATAAAAAATTTTTCAATTTCAATATCTTCATAAACAATGTCTGATCATTATCAAGCTTCTCATGAGTGTTCTCATAACTTCTCTGATCACTTTTTACTGGCTGGTGAAGCAGGGGTGCTGCTGCTCATGATCATGTCTTCATCTCTCTCAGCCTCATCACCGCACCTGATCTTCAGGCCAGCAGTTCATCTCATTTCTTTCCCAGATCAGTCTCTGACTTTAAGCAGCACAGTTCCTTTCTTTGCTGTAAGTCTTCTCACAAGTAATTCCTTACAGATTCTAGCTGACAGTTCTTGTGAAGCTCTCAGTGTTATCAGTGCCTTCTGCGGCTCTGCAGGCCTACAATCACCCCCCCCCTGCCCGCACAATCTCTGACCAGGCATATGTGAATATGCCTAGGTTCTCTATCAATGATCCTCATGCTGTGGCGCATTTTCACAATCCCATTGCTAATGAGAGATGAGTCCCTGAGTACCTGCAAAATCCAGGTAATCAAGGCAATGTGAATACCATGAATTCACAACAGAAGTTGACCTGGACAGATGAGCTCTCTCTCTATATTCTCATTGTTTTCAGACTGAATACTTCAGCATAACTGAGAGAGCAGACACAGCTTCACAAGAGATATCTGGTCATACACACAGATAATCAGTCTTCAAGATTCTGTCACAACTGTATATGCTCTGATGTTCAGCTTCTCTGAAGTCTGTGCATTTCTAATGATCTTTATATCAAATGCAACAATTGTCTGTACTGTGAGCATGATACTCTCTGCTTCTTTGAAGAGAGAAATTGATAGTTATAAGAGAATTGAGTATTACAGATATTGATAATATAAGTGTGAGTTTTCTTTATTTTTTCTTTGTTAGTCTCTAAATTGCATTCACAGTTCTATTTGTTTTCTTGTTTTTTAGCTTTAATAAGAATATGTTTTCTTCTTCTCTTGTATACACTGCAGACTGTTCATCTCAGTAGAAACTCATCATCTTATAGACTAGAGTTTATAAATGACAGTGTTAATATCTTTATCACAATCAGATTCTTAGTGAAGATCATGTCATTCTGACTTGTCAGAATTCACAGTATAAAAGTCATGTCTCAGCTTCTGCAGATATCTTATCTGCTCAGATGATTCTCAAGTGAACTCATTCATCTTATCAGAATACTCTTGTCACTGAACCTTGAATCAGAGTTTACAATCTCACTTCTCTGAGTCAATAATTTCTTTAATCTAGTATTCTCTTTCACTCTCTAGTGCTTCATGAACAGAATGATGAGTTACAGAGTTCTCTTCTAAGAATTCCTTGTATTCACAGAGTAAAGAGACATGAAAAACATTATATATCTATAACTCAGATAACAGTTTCAATCTGTAGAACTGCAAGCTAACTTTCTTCATAATCTTACAAGACTCTGTTTATAAGAGATTCAGCTTCTTACTAGATCTCTGTGTGATGATGTTTTCTAGACTTAGTCAGACTCTATCATCTTTCTTAAAACTCTTCACAATGTGCTTGAAGTCATAGTATCTCTTCTGATACTCTTAAGTCTTTCTCAAGAATTCACAGACTTTCTCCTGAATCTTCTGAATTCTCTCAGCCTGTTCACAGGTATTATCACACTCTATAGTGTACTCTCACGGGTTCATCAAGATCATCTGTGAATGAGTCTCAGTGAGCATCTCAAAGAGGATTTTATCTGTACTGACATGCTTTGAGTTGTTGTATATAAACTCTGTGAGTGATAATCAATGCACTCAGTCATTCTGATTGTAATTGACAAAGCATCACAGATACTGTTTCAATATACTTATCAGATGTTCTATCTGACTATCTGTCTGTTGATAAAAAGCTGTGCTTAGATCTTACAAGATCTTCAGTATAGTTATCAGATCAGATCAGAACTCTTCTGCAAAGATTAATTCTCTGTCTGAGACAATGTTCATAGATAATTCATGCAATCAGATCACATTGCAGACAAAGATGTGAGTCAAATCCTTTAACTTCAAGTTCTTGCAGATAGATATAAAGTGTGTCATCTTGATAAAGCAATTCACTATCACCAGTACACTGTCAAAGCAGGTATCATATATGTTCTTGCTTTCAGAGAGGCTCACAAGGACATTCATTCCTAGCTGTTTCCAAGGTTCTCACAAGATGAGTAGAGAAGTGAGTTCTTCATATAACCTGAACTGCACTACTCATGAATTCTGACAAACAGCATAAGAATTCACTATCTTCTTCACAAGTTCTTGCATCTTCAGTCAGAAGTATTTTCTTACAAGCAACTCATGAGTTCTAGTATCTGCAAAATGACTCACTAGAGAAGAGTTATGATACCTTTTAATGAGTTCTACACATAGAAACTCATTCACAAGCACATAAATTCAGCCCTCTCTTTACAAGAGATTATTTAAGTCTCTTCAATTCTTTATTTCTGCAGAATTGATTCCTGTCATAAGCAGTTTCTGAATATACTGAGCATATTTATTCTTCAGTTACAGTTCAGACAATCTGAATAGAAGATCTTACAAAGACTTATGCTCTGTTTTTTCTTGCATCAGGTCTTTCACAGTGCTTCTCAAAGCTCACAAACTCTTCAGATTATAGATACCCTCTTCAAGAATTCTTGTGAAGATTCTCAGAGTGTTGACTCTCAGTGTTGTAGAAAGTAGTTATACAGGCTTCTTTTCTCTCTTCTCCCTCTTCTCTTGCAAGGGATTGAGAGACTCTTCAGTCAATCTCTTTACAACACTCAGTTCAAGCATCTCATGAAGCTTTTCTGCCTTCTCTAGTCTCTCTGTGTCTGTCACCCTGGCCTTCTTAACATAGTCTGATCTGTAAGAGAGTCTGTCTGCTGAGTTCTTAGTTCTCTTGATATGTTCTATCTTGAATCAGAACTCACTCAGTCTCTGAGCTCAGTGAACCTGCTGCTGTGAGAGTTTCTTGATTAAAGTAAACTGTTATAAGCTGTCATAATCAGTTCTAACAGTAATCACTGTTATAAGACTCTCAAAGTAGTGACATCAGTGATGAAAGAATTTCACTATTATAAGGAGCTTCTGATTATGAATGTTATAGTTAATCTCTGTGAGTTGTATCTTCTGCAAGAAAAAGGTCACTGAAACCCAGTTCTCATTTAACTGTAGTTACAAGACTATTTCTGAAATCACAAAGAAGAAGACATCTGTCTTCAATCTGATTAAGAGTAAGAAATCAAAGTGGAATAGCATCACTGTGTCTGTGAATATCTGTTTCAATCTTACAAAGACTTCATGAGCTTCTGAAATAAGAAAGTTCTCACAGTTCTCTCTTCTCAATAATCTTTTCATTCTCTATTCACAGAATAACTTCTTCTTATTTTCACTCTTCAGTATGTCTGTAAGAGTCAAGAAGATTCTCATGAATATAAAGATAAACTATCTATAAAAATTCACAAAGCTCAGAAAGATCTGAATCTTATGAATACTAGTTAGCTTCAGTCATGATAGAATAGTCTCAATCTGTGAAGATTTCATCTGAATATTATCTGCAGTGATTATATATTCTAGGAAATTAATTCAGCAGGCACTGAAGTTGTACTTCACAAGCTTAATATACAGTCCTGTCTTATCTAAGGCCTTCAACATGCTTCACACATGCTCAGTGTGTTCTTTCTCCTTCATGAAGTACATCATCACATCATTCAGATATATTACTATGAAGACATTCAGATATGCATAAAGTGTTTTATTAATGAAAGACTGGAATACTGTAGAGACATTAGTCAGATCAAAAGACATCACTAGATATTCAAACAATTTCAGTGCAGTTCTAAAGACAGTCTTTCATTCATTCTCAGACTGTATTCACAGCTATGTATATATATTGATCATATTCAGTTATATGAATATAACAGCTCTCATGAGACAGTTGATCACATTCTCAATCAGAGACAGAGAGTAGCAGCTCTTTATTATCTTGAAGTTCAGATTGTGATAGTCTACACACAATCTGAGATCTTCATTCTTCTTCTTCACAAATATCACAGAGGCTCTTGTGAAGATCTGTAAAGATTAGATGAAGTCATTCTTCAGATTCTTCTTCACATAGGTCTGTAAGACCTCTGTCTTATAATGAAAGAGCTTATAGATTGATTCTCAGAAGAGTTTCTGTTCTTCTATCAAATCTATTATCAGATTCTTCTCACAGTGAGAAGAAAGCTCAGCTGCCTTAGCTGAGCTGAACATCTCTGTGAGATCTTAGTATTTCTCTGATATCTGAAGCTCAGTTTCCATGATCACAAGGTTCTCAGACACTTGCAAAGTCATTATATAGATGAGCTTGTCTTCTCTAATCAACTCTACAGTATCAACTGCTTCTATCTTTATAAGTGAGTCTGTCAACACTGATTGAAAGTATAAACCTGACTTGTGAACAGCTATGTGTGAATTGTGTCTTTGAAGTTATACAAGTTTCAAATACATGTTATCTGTGATGTCTGTGATAATCACAGTTTCTGCAAATCTTCTTCAGGTTTCAGAGAGATCTTGCAATTCAAAGGTGACTCTCATGAGTTTCTCAGTTCTCAGATCTGAGTTCTCACATCCTGCTTGTTACAAGAGCAGGTTCTCAGTCTTCATCTTTCAGCTTATTTGCTCTGCAAGCTTTAGAGACATCACAGTGATCTGGGATTCTGAGTTCATCAATGCTTCTCATGCTTGCAGAGTAGCAGTATCACAGCACAGTCTCTCTCTGTAAGCAAGCATTTTCATTGAGAGAGTAACAGATTCAGGTGTCAGCTTCAAGACTCTTAAGAAGGCTATTGCTGACTCTGTTCATAACTTCTCAAATTTCTATTTTGATTTATCTGAACAGTTTGTGTGAAGATATTCTGATTTAGAACAGATAAAGCAGAGTCTCTTTTTCTTAATCTCTCTGTTATATACTCTGTTTGCAGAAGCTTGTGAAGCTCTTTCTCTCTGCTCAGCAGTCAGACACAAATCTCTCTGTGTCTTGTCATCTTTTTCTGATAAACCTGTTCTCTGTTGTTCTGGCCCTTACAGAGTCAGTCAATGATTCACTCTTCACAGGTCTGTGACTCTCACAGTGATTTATAAGTGATGAATGAGAGTCATCAGTTTCTTCAGAGTCAAGAACTTAGAGTCTTGCTCAATGAGCTTGTTCTGTATATCTTTATTCAGCCTCTTCACAAACATCATTATTCAGGTCTTGTTTCAGAGCTCTGTTTTCACAGATCTCAATTCACATCACAATTTCATAAAGTGCTGTGAGTAGTCTTTATCAGATTTCTCACCTCTTTTTCTAATATTGATGATCACAGCTCAGATGTTCTCTGTCTGACTTATAAAGTCTCTCAACTTATTCTCTAAATAGGTCTTGAGAACAGATTATCAGAATCTCTTATGATCATTCTCTAGATAATTCAGCCAGTTCTTGACTTCAGTGTAATAGAGGCCTGTCATCACATAGATGACAGCTTCTTCATCTTTCATGTCACACAGCCAGGCTTGTGAGTCAATTTCAAATACAAACTTGTAAAAGCTTTTATAGATTATGATTCAATAGATGGCCTTAAGTGATCACAGCTTGAGAAAGTTTCTTTTCAGTTCACAGGTGTCTCTGAAGATCATGTCTAGAGACTCAGTTCAAGAGTGTTTGTGAACAGTAAGCATTTCTTGTAGAAAAATAGCTTGATTCTGTGAGAGATGCTCAAGAATGTTCTTCACTGAGATTGATTCATTCATGGGTTCAGAGGGTTCCCCTGTCACAGATGCAGAGAATGATGTCCTGCAAGTGATTGATAAGTCCTCTGAGACTTCTTCCATGGGGGTTATCCATGATTCAGGTGGCTGCTCCTGGGTGCCTGCAGTAGGGTTCACAGGGGTTGAAGCACATGAGTTTCTAGTTCTTTCAGTCATAACAGGCAGTTGCTGACTGACTGAGCTTGAAATGTAAGAATAAGTACTCACAGGTGATTATTCAGGTGTTTGCAGCTTGACATGATATATACTGTTAACTACTAGAAGTGTTCACAGTAGAAAGATAAATGTAGAGATCAAATGTATAATAGCATTCAAGCTGAGTTGTGAATAGTATTCGCGAACTCCAGTCTATATAGTTGTGTGTAGCCAAGGGCCGCTAGCCCTATTGGTTACGCGAGAGATAGGAATAGGGGTAAAGGATCCGCGAGGAGCGGGATTTCTTACAATTCCATCGGTTCGTTAACCAATCAAGGTTGATATATCAATGGAAGATTGAAAGATCGCACGAAACAGAAGTTCCATCCATGGATGAAAGCATGTGAACCAGCGTTGCGAACACCTGACAACATCATGAGACATCTTAATATCCTGTTCCAAGACACTGCCATGCAACAGAAAGCATTAGATTGGTTACAGAGTGCTCAACAGAGGAACACTCCTCTTACAACATTCATCCCTGACTTCAACACCAAGATTCTAGAAGCAGGTGGTCAGTCTTGGGAGGATCAAATGAAGATTAGCATGCTCAAGAAGGCATTGACTTTCGAACTCTTACAGGCCCTTGTGAGCGCAGATGAAGACCCAACTTATGAAGGCTTCTGCACACAGCTCCGGACAATGAATGATCATCTTACCAAGCTCAAGAATATACAGAACAGTGGCAGAAGACATTACACCCCAGCGACTTATACACCTGCACCGACAAATAACCCAGTCACTTATACACCTGCACTGACAGATAACCCAGCCACTCATACACCCACACCGAAGAACAACCATGATGCAGATGCCATGAACTGAATAGATTCAAATGCCTATGCACAAGCAAGAGTTTCTGCCATTCGAACAGGCTTCTGAGTCCCAGGGATCACTCCCGAAGAAGTCGCTGATCGACATCAACATGGAGTATGCATCAATTGTAACCGATTGGGACACATAGCTTCCAACTGCCAATCAACCTATGTGCCTCCACACTCAAGAGAAAGATCAGCGCCTGTCCGCGCCAGCCACATTACATTAGAGGAAGATTCAGAAGATAACTACAAGAATGCCCTGATGAAACAGGGAAAAGATTAGCTCCTGTTCAAATTCGCAAACAGGAGCTTGAAGAGATTGAACAACAACAATTTGAAGAGAAGCCACTATGCAATCTCCAGTCATAAGACATCATAACCTCCAGTGTATCCCCTTATCAAAAACTTCACACCGAACCGCCGCGCCGCCACCAATCCAATCCCTTCTCAACCGACCAGACTCTGAGTTCCGCGTTATCCGAAACAGCGGCCCTTTACCAATGGGAACTGCTTCTGGAAAGGGGGGGCTAATGTGGCGGGCTGCGCCCGATCAATCATATAGACTATTCTGTTACACTCCACAGATTCTACGTACGCTCCGATCCTCGGCCATTCTCGATTGCTGATCCTCGGCCGCCACCCCGATCAATCATATAGACTATTCTGTTACACTCCACAGATTCCACGTACGCTCCGATCCTCGGCCATTCTCGATCGCCACTCTGAACCTCGGGCATTCTCGATTGCCGACCCTCGGCCATTCTCGATCACCGATCCTCGGCTGCTACGAACGCGCATATATTCTTCCGCCCCGAAGCTCCACCGCGTACGCCACCACATACACATATAAATATCCACCTCGATCGCCGATTCTTACACTTTCTCTTTCTTTTCTTCTCTAGCGTTTTTATCTTTGTTATATAAGACCTATCAATATTATACCGATCTATTCGGCGTAGGCCCCTTACAGTACAGATAAAGCTGTGAAATTCAGATAAGATATTTCTCTTATATCTCAGAAAATCTCTGATCTTAATCTCTCTATCTTCATAATAGATGTAGATGTGTAGAGGCTGTGACAGTGACAGAGTGATTGAAGAGCTCATATTAAAATATGCAGCAGGTTCAGAAATCTCAGATTTCTGCCAGAGTAGAGATGTACATACTCTAGAAAATGATGTAGTGTTTCTCTCAGAGAATGAGATCAGATCAGTCTTAGTGCAGATGCATGAGATTATATCAGTCTGTTAGAGCTTGACTGATTCAAACTTGTAATCAGATGAAGCAATTCAAATTATAATATAATAGAACTGAAGCAGTGACTAGTCAGTGATAATATATAGAGATAGTTGTTTAAGAAGCTGTATAAGTGAGCTTGACTATCTTACTTGAATAGTGAGCTCACAGACTACAGAGTTATTGCAAGAATATCACAGATATAATACTTAGTATACTAAGAAGATTGTATAAGACATGCAGTAACTCTTGTGTATATTTCAGTAGAAATAAAATAAATTACTAGTTTCTTTAATAAGAAGTCAGCATCTAGCTATTCTATATAGATAATGAATAGATACTCTTCTCTCATTTCATAAGTAAGAATAGCTGAAGTGATATCTCAGCAGTGTCTCATTGTCAAGAAAGAGTAATCTGCTGATCTTGTATAGAAGCAGGGTTCTCATATTCATCAATCAGATCTTCCTATGATATATCCGAATGATGTCATAGAGTGGTTGGAAACCAGTTCAGTCGGCCTGCGGGATGAATGGAATCATCCGCATGGAAGCGATGAGCCGTGTGAAACCGCAATGGGGCCTTGACGCGGCCGGGAGCGTGACAGATATCAAGATGAATGAGAGAGAAGAAAGTCAGAAGACTGCTGCAGAAGTGACTGATGATGAAGAATTATAAGTAGAATTAAAAGTGAGAGCTGAACAGACAGATACAGATGCTGAAGAATTATTATTAATAGAAGAGAATAAGAAGTACTGAAGAACTAGTCAGAAGCAGTATGAAACTCTGAGTGATAATATTTTGAGAAAGTCAGAGCAGAAGAAGAATGTCAAGAGTGATCAGATATCTTAACTGTATAATATAGTATGTATAAGATGCCTGCATCACAATGATAAGACTGACTTACACTTTCAGCAGAATAACAAGCTTACTTGTCTGAGTATGTCAATCATACAGAACCTGACTGTGAAGAGGCTTGTAAATATCATATCAATCATTGAAAGACTCATGAGACATAGTAAGAAGATGTTATTTATCAATCATGAATTTTTCATTTTACTCAGTCAGTGATTGATTAAAGATTTGAAGTAGTTATCTATTAAGTGAAAGTTATGCTGATGAATGAATAATGATAAGCTAATCACTTCACAGATTATCAATTCTAAGAATTTTACTAATCAGAATATTGTTATTCTGCAGACCTGTGAAAAAATAGCTTCTATATTATATCAGTGTTGTGTGAAGAGTCAGAGATAATTCAAGAAATATATAGTTATCTCTGCAGATAATAAACAGACATAGTAAGAATATAGCACTTATATCAACTGTTAGTGAAGAAATAAGAGATTTCACTGCTCTTTAAATTACTATAACTGATATGAACTTGAGTGAAATGTAGATAACTTACTGTTTGAAGAGAGTATGTCTGAATTTGAAAAGACTGCAGTTAAGAAGACAGATATTAATAACATTATTAAGATCAGTGATATAGAGAAGAAGAATGATTCAACTATAGTTTTAATAAAGAGAATATCTATAACTTTCAAGTACAAGACATTGAGTCTGATTACACTGAAACTCTTGAAACATATTTAAATCAGTGAGCAGAGCATCTTGACATCTGTGAAGATGAGCAGTGAGATAAAGACAAGCTATTCAATCTCTGCTAAGATGATTAACAAGGCTAAGATGAGTAGTGTATAACAGTCATCAATTCTGTCTTCTGAAGATCACACAGTCAATTGTAGAGCTCAAGATTTAAAGATGCTGAGGTAATTATCTAATCTTGACAAGTATAATCTGAACACTGTTCAGATCATGTGAAAGAAACTGAACAAGATAACTGAGTTTATTAATGTGATTTCAGCTGTGAGAGATACTATAATTAATAATCATTTCTTTAAGTTATCTAGCAGAGTGTATTTCAGTAATCTTATAAATGAGAAGTTATCAGCAGATGTTACATTTTAAAATACACATCTCACTGAGCAGAAGATCAAGCTGCAGAAAGAGCTTGAAGATGATTGATAAGAAGAAATAGAATGAAATAATGAAAAGAGTGAAAGATGATGATTTTCTTATTTTCTTTATCTTCTTATTCAATAGCTAAAATTAGATTATAATACATTTTCTTTCTTTCTTTCACTCTATCTCTATTTTACTTTTCTTTCTATTATTTACTCAGCTGATTATGAGACTTCTTAGTCATGAAGATCTTGATCAGATGTAGAGTGTCTTATATGATAACTTTAAGAGACTCTCAGATCAGATCTTCATATTTCTTTTACTTAATCTGAAGATAAGTCTTATCATTCTCTGTACACTTTCTTATAATGTTTTCAACTTCAAATTACAACTGATCATTAATAAGTACTGATTCTGATAATAAGTGCTTCATATTCACTTCTGTTAACACAGTCTTTTTCAGATGAATGATGAAGATTACTGAGTGCATTCATTAATCAGCTGACAGTTTTAATTAAAATACAGTATCTGATATCTTCTGAAGAACATGAAATGAGTCTACTTATAAAAGTGATAGCTTAAATGTTTCTTTTAACATATAGTTCTTTTGAGCTTTTTAAGCAAGGTTCAAGAAGACTCAATCATCAATCTGAATAGTTAATTGAGAATGAAATCAATCAAAGAACTCAGTCATTCTAGCTTTTATCAGAGTATATAAGTCAAGAATATCTTGTTACACTGCATCTTATGCAGTGATGAACTCAGCTATATCTAGCAAAGCTTTCTCATTATTCAATGACAGTTATCTAGACTTTACACCTGTGAGTAATTCAAAGAGAGAGATCATTACTGACTGTACAGTTACTGAGTTTAATACTCTTTTCACTTATTCAAGCAGAGCAGTTCAATTTACTTCATATTCATCTATAAGAAGTATTCACAATGTAACTTCAATCATGAGATTGATTCACTCACTTTGACTATTTAAGTGAGAATTGTAGACAGTTGTCATTCATATCTTAATTCTCATGAGTTGAAGAACTGACTTTCAAAATTACAATGTAAATTTGAGATCTCTATCTGAAATAATTATCAGTGAGAGCTATCAGCAGCAGATCATCTTCTTATAGAAGTCTTTCACTTATTATAAAGTATTTCATCATTTCTGTTCTACAATTAGAATTACTGCTTTTGAAAATTTATCTGTGACTGTCAATATAGTGTCACAATTATCACTCACAGATAATTCTGTAATAAAATCAATTAAAAGAACTTTAAACAGCTGTTTTAAGAATGAGATGAGATGTAATTTACCCTCTGATAAGTGATTCAGCAGTTTGACTAGTTGATAATTAAGACATTGTAATAGATGATCTAGAATTCTCTTTCAGACATGAAAAAGAAAGAAGAACTGATGAATAAGGTTTTTCATTCAATGAAGGCCAGAGTGACCTGTCACATCATGACATATATAGATAATATCTTATACCAGCAATTTGAGAATACAGAGATGTGATTCTTTGAAGAATAATAACTCATCTCACACTGTAAACAACTGATATCACTCTTTCTGACTGGTCTTGTGAAAGACCTTTCTCAATGCCAGATTGCAGAGAATATCTTAGTATAGTTGCTTTTTAAATTCATCAGCAAGCTCTATTACTGTAGTTAAAATCATACATATCTTCACTAAAGATACATCTGTCATCAGTTCATTTATCTGATTGATGATAATCTGACAGATTTTTTTCTACTCTTCAGAGAGAATCTCTTCTGAATCATTATCTAAATAGCATAATCTGAATAGAGTGTCAGTATTAGCATGTGCAGCACTCTTACAATAGTGAATTATTATTTATAAAAGATATAAGCTTAGAACTAAGACTTAATTCATCAGTTGATTGCTACAATGACCTATTATCAACAACTGAAAAGTAAATACAAGAGTGATATGATTTATGACAACTGTAAACTCACTGTCTAAATACTGCAGTAATTTCTGCAGAGCTTATATGAGTTCAAGACACTTCAATTCAGTTACTCAGTAGCACTTTTCAGCTGCACTTAATCAGTAAGAGAGAAATAGAACAGATCTTTCAATGTTATTCATTCTAACTTAGTGTAGAGTTATTTCAATATCTCTTTGCTTACTGACATTCACATACAATATAAAGAGACATTTAAAGTCAGAATATACTCAGATGAGAGTGTTTATCAAGACTTGCTTTATTATGTTAAATAAATGTCTGACTTTCATAAGCAGAGTGTGAAACTATAATGAGTTCTCAAATCTTATTAACTTAGTCTTAGCTGTGTATGACACTCTTTTCTAACTCATTTTTAAATTATTACACAGCAACTTAATCTTGAGAGTCTCTAATACTTTTATCTGATCTGTATAAAAATCAACAAAATCACAATAATAATTGAAGAGGCTGACAATTTCTTCTAGTTCTTCAAGTGTTATAGAGAAGGCTAGATTAGTAATAGCAGCTACTTTCTCTTCTTAAGTAGAT